GGGTGAAACAGGAGAAAGAAAGTAAGTGGCAGCGTCTGTCACACAGTTTTTTAACGCCCTAAAAGAGCGACTAATAGTATTGTGTAGGCCCTGTAGAAGAGTTTGGTCGTGCTTTTGCCTTCTAAAAATTTTTTTGACGAGCGGTATGGGTGGTGGGACCACGCGCGTCTGTGGATTGGAAGCAATTGTTGTTCTCCGTCGTCCAGCTGGACCGATGGTGGTTGGACAGTATAGGAAGCACAGTTACTCTCACTGTGATTCTTCAGCTCGTGTAACTGAACGATTCCACTGCAGGCTGGACAGTGGAGGAGGAGTGCGCCCACAACCTTCAGGATGACGTCTGATACTGGTGATAGATGGGAGTTGATCTGTGCATCGTGAGTGCTGCAATGAGGGCAAACTTGCTTGTCAACGACGCAGTTAAGGCATGCCAATTTTCTGCAACCTGTCTCTACTGGCCTGTCGACAATGCAGTGACACATGCAGCACTGCAGGTCCTCTAGCTGGGGACGTGTACTAGGCGGAGAGAGAAAGAGGTTGGAGAGCATCCCAGGATGGCGTCGTGCCGGGACTTCTTGAGTCTGGTCAACCCTTCTGTGGATTTCCTTGGCCTACCCCTGTTCTTTTTTGGCCGACCTCTTACCGATTGGCTCCGAAACATGACGCATGTGCCGCAGCCATTGTCGTCATGTGCCCGCCAGTTGTAGGCTTCACTAAGATGTGTTGTTGCACCATTAGCCATTCTTGTCATTTTCTCCTGGCAACTGAGGCACACTGTTGGTGGGTGAATGTCTGGGTGTCAGAGTGCTGGTGCCAACTGCTGCCCACTGCTGCCCGCCACTGCTCTGGTTTTATGGAGGAGCATGGATATCTGTATAGGCTTTTGAATTGGCATTGAAGTTGGAAGCACAAACTCTGCAGTGCTTTTGTAGCTGTTCCAAATGATATTTATGGCTATTCCAAATGATATTTATGGCTATTGCGGGCCATTGATGAGTGCGTGTGTGTAGAGTGCCGTCGGAAGTCTCGCGTGCACTAGGTACCCGGCCCCACATCTCTGGGCTTGCTGCGAGCTGACAAAAAATGTTTAGTGAGCGATGTCTTGTGCGAGGTATAGTACGGTTTGTTGTGCACTTACTGCATATGGCTTTGCGTTGATAAAAACTGTGTGAAGCTGGCACTGAGCGGGTTTTCCGGGGTACCCGTGGCGCGGGTTGCAACAAAGACGGTCTGCGCAGTTGTAAACAATTTTGGCAGCTGGCTGCGCGAAGCTGCCATGGTGATGTATAGTTAGTGTTCATGTTCTTTGCAACCATTGAGCGCTAACGTCAGGATTGGTAGAAAACCCCATAGCAACGCATGGATATTGGTTGGCATTGAAGTTGGAAGCACAAACTCTGCAGTGCTTTTGTAGCTGTTCCAAATGATATTTATGGCTATTGCGGGCCATTGATGAGTGGGTGTGTGTGGAAGTCTCGCGGAAGTCTCGCGTGCACTAGGTACCCGGCCCCACCTCTCTGGGCTTGCTGCGAGCTGACAAAAAATGTTTAGTGAGCGATGTCTTGTGCGAGGTATAGTACGGTTTGTTGTGCACTTACTGCATATGGCTTTGCGTTGATAAAAACTGTGTGAAGCTGGCACTGAGCGGGTTTTCCGGGGTACCCGTGGCGCGGGTTGCAACAAAGACGGTCTGCGCAGTTGTAAACAATTTTGGCAGCTGGCTGCGCGAAGCTGCCATGGTGATGTATAGTTAGTGTTCATGTTCTTTGCAACCATTGAGCGCTGTGTAACGTCAGGATTGGTAGAAAACCCCATAGCAACGAGTCCACAAAAACTACACGTATACGTTGCTATGTCCCGCGATTACAAATTTCTGGCCGGCCAGCACGCGATAACGATCTAAATGTCCGCGCGGAACAGCCGTGGGTACGTCGCCCACCCCTCAGTAGGGTCCACCCCTGATAATTTGTGAGCGTGTGAAGAAAGGGAAAGAGTTATGGATTGGTCTAGAGAAGATTTTTCTATATATGCCGCGCGCAGGAGAAGGCCTGGTGCATTGCCACTTGTTCCCTATTCCTGCAAGAACAATCAGATTGCCGGATTATGCCTGATTCGCGCTGTCGTCTGACTGTTTTTGACTCGACTCGAATTGTCTACTGCGCTCGGGTCTAAAATGTTGTTTCGGCCTACTTGGTCATGTGCAATGTATCTCACTGTTTTGTGCACACACAAGAGTGACTCCTACGATTAGACCCCATTTGTAAGCTCGCTTCCACTTGCCAAAAATGCCATGCATTCGCCTACTAGTAGTTTTCATCTGTGTCATAAAGTACATTTGCCAAAACCATTGAGTTTTTTTGGCTATATACACGCATAGCGGAAAATCTATATTTGCGCCGAATGGTACCTTTTCCCAGAGCGGGTCACATATGTTAGGCACGAAGTTCGGATTCGGACCATCCTAGGATTGTGTTGCGCAAACCTCAGATCCTTCTTTGCATAGAAATCCTACGATCGCGCAGTCACGAAGGCCCCGCCTGCATCATTGCACATGCGCGTTGTAGTTGTAATTGCGGTCCGTCGTCTCATTCGTATGACCGATGTAGTTGTCTCTTCACTCCGTCGCTACACTGATAAGTGCGCACAGACGACGAAGAACAAAGGGAGCACATTTTTATAGAGCGAGAGACTGCTTTTCACGTGGGCCCAGGTTTGCGCAAGACCAATCCGAGGTTCGCGCAGCTTGAATGTGGTCGTAGGACTTGTTGCGCAAAGCTGGGATCTGAGGTTTGTGCAACACAATCCTAGGATGGTCCGAATCCGAACTTTGCGCCTAACACATACATGTGAAAAACCAACTTATTTCAGTGCAATCAACAACAAAAATGTAAGGCAATATGTCTTGTGTAAACCAAGTTATAGCTGCAGTGTTTTAATTGTCAAAATCCTTATTACAGCACTGTTTCTCCTTCCCCAACAGCCAACAGTTCAGCATGTACAGAGTCAGAGGCAAGAAATATAACTAGACTGCAGCTAAAAGATACTTGATGCTCCTTCTTGCTAAGTATTTGTTGTTATCTACAAACACAAGCCCTACGTTTCAGTCCATTACTTTGCATGGAGTGTTACTTTATGAGTCTGATTTGACCAGCTGACCTCTCGACCACAGTCTCACCTTGGTCATTAGTCAGATCTCTGTGCTCTATACCAAGGTCATAACTCTTCACATCTAGCTCCACAAAGGGAAAGATCAGTTTCTCTTTGATCAACTCCCATATTATTCTGTATAATGAGGGGAAAAGTATCATAACCTTACCCCATACGTGCACTTTTTACTAGAAACATGACCAAATCAGCCCTGGTTTAATACAACCTGGCTCTTGCCCAGTTCAAAGGTCTGTATAAAAAATGCGTAGCAGGAGATATAATGCAATATACTGGAAATTTAAGGCCTATACTAAAACTGGTATATACTACTGCTGCGCTGGAAGTTTCAAGGCGACTTGTGTTGCTGCTTTGGAAGGATTTGGGCTCATCAGTCATTACACAAAACACGCGTATACCCGTGAGACCTTTGCGGACACATGTTTTGGTAAAAATAATTGGTGGGTGCAGCTGTACATTGTCTTCTCTCAGAGGAAGGTTTGTATGTGCTTTCAATGTCTGGGGCAGCACAAGCGTCCACTTTTCTCAGTTCAGAGGCGCCCTCTTCTTGAAGGTTTAGTTTCCTCTTTTTAAAATGTATTAGTTTTATGGGAAGTTCAATCAGGAGGAGTAAAATTGAGGGTGTCAGCACCACGTAGGGTCCACTTCAAGAGGTTTCACTGTACCAATGAGTACTCTTGCTCTATATTTACAGGCACTCACCTTGTCATTTCATCTCCTTTGGCCTCCACAACCGTCCCCCCTATAGTGTTTTTAATGACATCATATGAAACAAAAGAGGGTACATATGTGACTGTCCCCACAAAAAGAGAGTTGACTTATAACACCAATTTTCTGTGTGGACAGCCATATAATTACATCCCTTCTCCTTCCTTCCTTCAGTAACCTAAACATTTACTTCACTAAGTAAAAGGCAAACTAATTGCACACCACCATGAAGTTGGAATGCATACACAATTATAAGATTTCAATCAGGGATGCCAAATCATGAAATAAAGGGAAAGAAGAACATGCCAACACCAAGACAGCAGTTCTAACCCCATCCCTACATCTGTTTTTTTTGCATGAAACCATGTGTACATACTTACAATAAAACCCACCGTACATCATATTAAAATATGTGACAGGCTCTGAGAAAACGACCCTTATGACGCAAATTCTCAAGTTTTGTGCGCTACACCGAACGTCCTATAAAAGCTCTATAGTTTGCCGTTTGTTTCAGGGGCGTAGCCCGTTCCGTTGCGAAGTTATGGGCACAAGCGCAAGTGCCATTCCGCTGCACCTATCGTGAAAAATCGTGTCTAAAGTTGAATTTCCGGCGTCAAATTTCAACCTCCGTATTCTCGTAACAAGTCCGTACGCACGCACGTGCATCCGGCCGCATTCATTGATATGCCGCTAGGTGAACACAGTAAAGGGGAATTCCCGTTTACGTGACTCCGTAAAAGGTTTGATTATTCCCGTGTCACGTTTCCTTGTAATTCCGCGTAACGACGGAACGAGTAACGGTACGGGCCTGGTACCCAGGGCCATAACTACAGAACGGAACGGAGTTAATGCGTCAAACTTGCGCAGATTATAGACGATAGACAGAGGTACTAGAATACAGGGAAAAACGGGAATCGGTGAATTACGTAGTTCGCCATAAAACTGCCGCTACTACAATGAAAAGCACTAAAGTGCAAACCCTCGGCGAACTGCGCATGCGCGGTACCACTAATTGATGGGCTGGGCCTATTATATTAGTATATTCGTGATCTCCCGCTAGTAGCACGCGGAGAGTCTGACACGGGCTAGCTACAGTAGTAAATAGCATGCGGGAGTCGATACACGCCTTTCGTTGTGGCTTCTTGTGCCTCCGAGGTACACATAGCAAGAGGATCAGGTCCAGGTAAGCCAGTACTAATTAGCATATTGGCTTGTTCACTTGGTTTTCACGCCATAACTTCTGAACGCGGCAGTTTTACGAAAATCGCCGATTTTTAAATAAAGCCAGTGTAGCTCTGAACCCACTGGTGTCGCTATTTTACCTGTTTGTTGCGCGTGGTGGCAGAAATCGTGGTAACAGACGGACAGACGGACAGACAGACCAAGTACTGTAACCCTCGCTGCGCATGCGCGCCGCCGAGGGTTAATGAAAAGCACTAAAGTGCAAACCCTCGGCGAACTGCGCATGCGCTGTACCTGTAATTGATGGGCTGGGCCTATTAGTCTGCGTTTACCTGTGATCTCCCACTAGTAGCTCGCAGAGAGTCTGACACGGGCTAGCTACAGTAGTACATAGCATGCGGGAGTCGATACACGCCCTTCGTTGTGACTTCTTGTGCCTCCGAGATACACAGATAAAGCGGATCAGGTCGAGGTAAGCTAGTGCTAATTCAATTGGCTTGTTCACTTGGTTTTCACGCCATAACTTCTGAACGTGGCACTTTTACGAAAATCGCCATTTTAAAAATCAAGCCAGTGTAGCGCTGAACCCGTTGGTGTCGCTATTTTACCTGTTTGTTGCGCGTGGTGGCAGAAAACATGGTAACAGACAGACAGACGGACAAACCAAGTACTGTAACCCTCGCTGCGCATGCGCGCCGAGGGTTAACAATACTACGTGCGTGATAAGGGTCGTTTTCTCAGAGCCACATATGTGTAAGCAGCTACATACATTCATGCATTAATCACCAAACAGGAATACAAACTTTTGTTATGGTGTAGCCATTTTCTTGTTTTCCTAATTGTTTCTCATGACGTGACATAATAATCACTTGGTACTAGTTGCTAAAATGGGTCAAGCGCACAAATTAGGCTAGGCCCAGGTGATTTCAGTGAGTGTGAGCTGTTGAATGTGAAAACTATGAGGTAGAAAGGCAAAGGCACAACAAACAAATCAACTACACCTAGGACAGCTCTTTTTTCCAAGGAAAAATAAAGAGCTGCCTTAGGTGGGATTCGAACCCACGACACTCTGCAGTCTAGGCGAGCCCTCTACCAACTGAGCTACGGGGGCAACTCAGCTGGTAGGGGTTCGAATCTACAACACAACACAACACAACACAAGGCAAACCTCCAACCACTGTGCTATGGCACAGTAAACTCTCACTTAGCATGTAGGAGCAGACCGGAGTAATTAAACCACCAATGACGCCCAACTCCAAGCCAAGTATATGCATGCACATGTTTCCACCAGCCTTGCTGCAAAATTGTGCACAGGCTGGGGATGATGGACCAAATACTTGTGCAAGGTACGTACCATAAAAATGAGGGCATAACAGAGTGTGCTATGTATCATTCACTTTCTGGTATGTGCCTTTCAATGGGACATACTGCTATTATGGGTACAACAACTCTTCTGTGCAACCTTCAAGTCACAAAGGTCCACAGTTACCCAAACCTATACTGGGAGACTGGTAAACCTACTACCTCCTACAGGACATACATTTGGAGATTCAAAGCTACAAATCCAGGTCTGTTCACATCTAGTATCTACTTCAGATCACTAGCCCTTCAAAGCCATTGAGGTATATTGAATGGAACACGTAGATCAACAATAACCAAAAGGGGCCCTATTCATAAAATTAATGTTCTGAGAGAAAAGTAAGTATAATAGTATGTATATAGCGTCAACTAAAAGGATATTCAGATCTGCATTAGATCTCACCATTTATCTTTGCAGATGAAGCAGACATGGCACGATAAGTTACCAGCGGTCGAACCCCTGCAGACCGATATAGTGACCCTACACAGGAAAAGGAACTGGTGCACAAACAAGGTATATAGCCGGTCCGCCGGGCCACACGTGGCGAGAGCTAGAGGCCAGCTAAGTGGCCCGCCCCCCACAGCGCGCGCCGTTGGCTCTACCGCCATCACACAGTACACACACACACACACGCAAGTACGTACACAACGGCTCGTGTGCCAAGGCTGTAGCCATCTAGAACCACATGTGCTTAAACATACCACACTGACGTAAAATCCTAGCCATCCTAGATCAGGCGTCCCTCAGACCAGTGCAGTTTAACGACGTAGCTACTCGGTGCCGATCCCGCGATCTTTATAGAGGGTTGGCCGGCACACGCCCCCCTCTCTAAAGCGCAACACAACGCGCATGCGTAGAATGTCCCTCTGCGCGTGCGCACCCGAAAGGGTGATGCAACATGCACACTACTACCGGGTACCCACCGGCACCCCCCCGCCCACCCGCTCGCTCAGCAAACACAGCCTGAGCCAGCTGTTGCTTACCGAGTGAATATTTTATGTTCCTGACGGTTTCTCTTCCGGTGTGTTAAACGCGAGCTACACGGTGTTTGGAAAGCAAATCCAGAAAAATGTCAGAGCAATCATTGGATCGGCAGACCAGCGAAGTTTTGGATATTCCCGAGCGGCGTGTGGTAGTCAAAGATGCTAGTGAATTACCAACAAGCTACTGTCAGACTCCTGGAGGAACTATATTTTCTACTACACCTGGCGGTAAATGCGCATGCGAAAAAACCACCGGGGGTGAACTATTGGGCATGCGCGGTACATAATAATACCCGTGTGCACAGTCACTTTGTTTCATAGCCTTGAAAAGCCATCTCAATAGCTCTAGCTAGGGCCATTGACCACACACCAGAATACTGGGTGGAGCTATACAGAATGGGTGACCACAGTCCTGTTGCGACCATTTGCAGGCCTGGTGAACTCTGTGATGAGGACAGTTCAACGCAAGGGTTATCCCCATTCCTTTCATCTCTCAAATACTCAGATAATAAAAATTTTTCTCACACAAGTCAGTACCTAACACAAAAGATGCCTTCCTGCTGATATTCTTCCCTCAGAAGCTCCATCCCTTATACAGTCACTACAAGTGGAAAAATCATTTCTTCACAATGTTGTCATAGCTGCTCATTAAAAATAGTGGAAACAAGTTGAAAAATCATTTTTCTTCAAAATGAAAAGGGATATAGGGATGGCTCGAAGCACCAAAAGGGAAGAGACAAGGGGTCGTTACACAGCAAAGATACACAAAGCTACATGACAGCATCCCTATATCTTTCTTTGGTATGATTTGCTTGTGAATCAATAGAACAAAGATAAGGATGGTGCCATGTAGGTTGTGTATCTTTGGTAATGACCCCTTGTCTCTTCCTTTTTGGTGCTTTGAGCCATCCATATATCCCTCTTCATTTTGAAGGAATGATTTTTCAACTTGTGTTCACTATTTTTAATGAGCAGCTATGACAACACAGCATTTTCTTATTACTGTCACTCTGATTTGCATGTATGTTTTAGTGGAAAAAATAGTGGAAACAAGTTGAAAAATGATTTCTTCAAAATGAAGAGGGATATAGGGATGGCTCGAAGCACCAAAAGGGAAGAGACAAGGGGTCGTTACACAGCAAAGATACACAAAGCTACATGACAGCATCCCTATATCTTTGTTTGATATGATTTGCTTGTGAATCAATAGAACAAAGATAAGGATGGTGCCATGTAGGTTGTGTATCTTTGGTAATGACCCCTTGTCTCTTCCTTTTTGGTGCTTTGAGCCATCCATATATCCCTCTTCATTTTGAAGGAATGATTTTTCAACTTGTGTTCACTATTTATGAGCAGCTATGACAACACAGCATTTTCTTATTACTGTCACTCTGATTTGCATGTATGTTTTAGGGTTGATCATGGGGATGACTGAATTCTATCTTGTTGTGTAGCAGTAGCTGGCTGATATGCCTGAAGCAGGGGACAGTAGACACAGAGACTGTCTATTGTCTCCATAGGTTATGGCATCTTTGCACAGGATGGTGGTTTCATTGGAAGGCTCTAATAATCAGACTACAATGGCTACAAGCTTGAGACACAAACAATGGATGGATGGAGTCTATGTTAGTTACTTTATATTCTCAGGAACTACGGGATTTTATACGCGCAGGCAGCTCTCTGCACATAGACTCCTGTTAGTTACTCAGTATTCTCGGGAACTACGGGATTTTATACGCGCAGGCAGCTCTCTGCACATAGACTCTGGCAAGTTTCTCCCGTGCAAACCAACAGGTAGCTTGTTGGAAAGGTGTAGACCTATTTTACTTACAGAAGGCACTGGACACTGAGAGTTCCGCATGTCTACCGCGACAACCGCCAGGTGAATGAGCACGCGACACTGCAGCATCAGGACACCGCCCCTTGCTCGGCGCATGCTGCTCACTGCTTGCTGAGTTACAGCAAATGGCGTTGTTCCCTCCCTTCCTCTGTGTCAGCTTCCTTAGGTGACCGATGTTCTCCTGATCTACATCAATCTAGACCCAGGGTCACTGGCCCCATGCAGATACTCCATTACTTTTCAAACATCTTGCAAAAGCTTGACCTTGCTGAAACGCCCTTTGATCAATCTGTCGCCTAAATGGCAAGTAATGAACACTCTTCCTAAAAAATATCCACCAACTTTAAGATTAGGGCTCATGGTTATATATACCAAGTCTGTGAGGGCTTAGCATTACCAGCACAACTCTTAAAACTTACATCCTTGCAGGTACACGTATCATTTATGACCGCAAGTTTTTGCTTGACATGCGGAATTCTCCATACACCAAAACTCCACCATCACGGTTGGCTATCATTCCCGACATTCTCAAGGAGGAACCCGCTCTACCTGCACCACCAAAGGTCCGAAATCCAGACTTGACATCCCAAGTGAACAACAGTAAAGAATGTAAGTTTGTGAAATCGAATGGCACGAGTTATAATTATAATCAACTGTTCACATGTTCCAAAGGCTGTTGTAGGGTCTATTGAGCACCGGTTTAAAATTACCACTACACACACAGTACAATTGACAACCTATGGGAAGTGTCATACAGTGGAACCTCTGAAGAAAGGACACTTTGGGGCCAATGGTTTTGTTCCTTGCAGGGAGGTCATCCATATCTCGGAGGTCAAATAATACTCTAAAGTAGTAGCATGGGGTTTAAAAAGTGTCCTTTGTAGAGAGGTCGTCCCTATCTCGGAGGGTCCCATATTGGAGGTTTCACTGTAGTGAGAATGGTATTGCTACCATTTCTGCAGAGATAGACTTCAAGAATGCTTTTTAGTACAGTCTCCCTAGCAGCAGGGCTGTTTCTGTAACACACACAATAATGCCTGGATTAGCTCAGTTTGTGAGCATTCAAGTGGTCACACTCCCATAACCTTTTACAGGCAAGCAAACGAGCCTACATACACGAGTATATAGGTATTCTGAAACGTACACACGCGAACTTTACGCACTAGCTGAAATTCAGCTCTGCACATGCGGGTGTGGTGCGGCCGGGCCAGAGATGCAGCAATAATATGGCGGCAGAATTGCAAAACCTGGCTGTTACATGGACAGTTTTACTGCCAAAATCACATACGTACATGGACAACTGGGGCCGTGGCCGCGGTCGATCGAGTGGGTTGCCTCGACAGGCGCTGGCTAGGAGCTCTTAGGGCTCTTCCAACATCACTCCTCGAACGTTCTCTGTCTCTTTCGCATCTTGTGCCGGTAAGACACCGCCGCGTACATGTGTGCTATGTGTAAGCGCGAGCACTTCTTGTTCGCCACCGTTTTTTTGCGGTTGGCGGGACACAATGGTTCCGTGGTGTTCTTTACTCATTTTCTACCTAGTTTTAAGGGTGTGTAGACTGTAGAGCCTAGAAAGACAGCTAGTTAGCTAGAGAAAGCGTTAGAAATATTACTTCCGGTCGCCATTTTTGGCCCGCCCCACTCCCTTTAATGCGTGAGGTGCTGAGATTATGGGTCAGCACATGTTCATTCCAGCGGCAAACTGTAGTCACAAAGTCATGTGGTATATACCGGTAGCCTCTATGAGTGCAGTATGCTTAGCTTGTCCAGAGCTCCGCCGCTTTTTCTCCAGATTGCCAGTTTTTGATGGATGGTTTTTATCACTTTCTCACAGTTCATGCATCTGATGCAGAAGTGTTTTCAATGGAAGACTGACTAGTTGTGTTGATTGACTGGTCCGAGTGTGTATTCACTTTACATGTATTGAGAATCATTATTGTGCATCACATTTGCCAGTCTGCGCTACATTTTAAAGACTTATTCTTGAAACATATTATTCAGTTGCAAAAGCATAGTCCATGAAACAAACCGTTCATGTTTTAATTGGTCAACTTATAGATAACAACTGGCTCTTCACAGCCTATATTTGAAGGTTGACTGCCGGACAACCTGTGCTCTGTGAAGGCCTCTGGAGATAGGTAGTACCCAATCCTGGCTGATGCATCAACTGCTAGCCCCTCACATACATAAATGAACACAGCGTAAGAATCATTGCCATCAGTGATCAAAATTCCTTGATATGTGCTTGTCTACAGGAGAAGAAGAGGAAGAATAGCAACTTCTTACATCATGGATATTCCACTCCTAAATAAACTTACCATTGTAGTGTCAAATAGTGGCACGTTGAACCAGTACACCACAAGCATCCATGTTCCACTGAATCCGAAATCTTCACGGCTAGAGATGCTGCAGCTCACCCTGCGTAGCAAAGGACTGTCACCTTCATGGACTTCATAAGACACACTTCCTCCCATGGAGGGGTCATTATCCACCCAGTAAGGAGCGACAAATGATCCAGATACAATCATACTGAACATCCTAGGACTCAGCAATTCAACTTGACCATTGATGACAATTAGTCCATTAGTGTGTACCTAAATAGAGGAGATCAGGTTTATCTGAGCTAAGAACTACAGTAAACAAGGCTGTGATGATGTTTTGGTGTAAAATTCTGGCTGCAGAATAGCAACCTAAAGTACCACTTGGGCTATATTATACTTAAAACAAAAACCGTTTCATGCCCTTTTTGCATTAGCAAGTGGTGAAACTTGGTAAATGACCTACGTACATTGAATCTTGTAGCACGGGTCCCTATTAATGGAAATCCTGTTGATGGAGAGGAAATATTCCCGGAGAGTTCATCATTAGCACTTGGTAGAAACACCCGTATAACATCGTTGGTAACTCCAAGGTCCAACAGTTGTAAAGAATCACCATCTAGAAAAGAAATCTACTGCATGACTCTCTGTTAGGTGGCAACAAAATAATGTACTGTCATGCTACATCATAATTGAGGGTACTTTTTTTCCTAAAAAGAGTGAAGGTTCTGGAAGGGGGCATGGCAGTGATGGCACTCGTTTGGCTAGAAGTATGACCTTTTTTTATACTTGTTCAGTACTAGACTGAAAGTTGGTATGCGTAGAACTGCACACAATGATTAAGGATCATTCGCTCTTGCAAGTTCTTGCACACCAATTTTCAGTCCAATAGAGAAAGTGTGAACTGAACTTATGAATAAACCATTACAATGTTAAGAAATCTGACATAATGTAGGCAATGAAATAGTGGGAGTGCCTGCTCCATTTAGGAAACTTAAGAGAGAGGTAAATCGAGCATGTAGACATTCTTATGCATAAAAAAGCCAGTAACACCTCACAACCCAACCTGGAGTAAGGTGGTATACAATGTTATTCCATAGAGAAATGTCCTCATTCTCACAGGCTACCATAAATGACATTTGTGCTGAAGAGGAGGGATCCTCTACAAAATTGCAGCTGTCATTATAATAGCCTATGCGTCCTCCGAGAGTAGTGTTGTCCAAATCATTACATAGATATGTAAAAACTGTGTATGTCGAAGAGCCATCTGTTATAACAACTGCTTGATATGTGTTGCTCTGCAAAGTAAGTAAAAGTAATTGCTCAGTATCCACGCAGAATATACTTACTTACAAACATACTCTAATATGTACGCATGCATATTGATTATGCGGTCAGTAATAAATTATTCATTGGCCGCAAAAAATGCATCCTCCAACATTTACGATGGCAACATACTTGCCAACATTATACAATGTTCAATGCATTTTTGCAAAAGACATTTGTGCACTAAGAAAAACCTGTTCGGGTGTAGCTGCCATTGTTAACCCTCGGCGCGCATGCGCAGCGAGGGTTACAGTACTTTAGTCTCATGCCCAGGCCCTCACGTGCTCCCGCACGAAAGAGGGTCTGGTATATAATGTCCAATTTCTTGAGTCAGCATGTTCGGAAAACGGGTAACCCAATCAGATTGCCGGATTTCAAACTATCATTTGACATGAAGGCAATCTGCAATGCCGACTGGTTCTGCACATGCGCAGCGCAACAGGAGTGCTTGACCGGGTAATTACATGACTGACAGGTTGAATTACACAATTTACGCACACATGCTGACTCAGCACAACCAAGAAATTGGACCTTCAATAAGGCTAAAAACCATATCAGTCTACAAGCCAAGAAAGTTGTCTTTGCTCTTAAAAGAACTCTTACCAAAATATCCACCAGTACCAATCTCTTTGTACTTGCTTAATTCTATTCTGCTATGGGTGTGAAATTTGGGGGTTCAAAAACGACATTGAAATTGAAAAAATAGAAAATACAGTTTATGAAGTACATCAACGAAATGCAGCAGTGTGTGGCGAATTGGACCAGTTTCCAATACATCTCTTCTGGAAAGAGAGCATTCTCAAGTATTGGTGTAGAATGAATATGAGTGAGCTACCTTTCTATCTACAGCAATCACTCACAGAACATGTTGGAAAACGGTAAAAACTGTTGGCTAACAAGAACAAAACGACTATACGACACTGCAGGTTTGCTTTTCAAGTTTAACATGGCCGGCACTGATTATACTACACATCATGTGAATGATGACAAGTTTATACAAGACTGGTAAGGGCCAACTCAACTCTGGAAGTAAAAAGGGGAATAATGGTAGCAATAAACTGAGAACATACTAATTAACCCTCGGCGCGCATGCGCAGCAAGGGTTACTGTAGTTGGGTTTGTCTGTCTGTCTGTCTGTGTGTCTGTTACTCTCAATCTCACTTCTCGGGTGTTTGTTCGTCTCACACAGGATACGACCTATTTAACGGGCAATGAAGGTAAGAAATTTCGAACAGTTTTCTCTGAAACTGCTCCGTTGCAAAGCTAGAGCGTGAAAAAGCCAATATGCAAATACACAACGGACGGGATGGCTTACCACAGTCGGATCGATCCGCGTGCTCTGTGTACTTCGGAGGCACCAGAAGATGCAACGCAGGACCTCTCGCATGCTATCTAGCAGTGTAGTTAGCCCGCGTCAGACTCTGCGCGAGCTGGGAAGAGACCACGAGTGACAGCTAAAACTAAACCCAGCCCATCAATTAGTGGTACGGCGCATGCGTTTACTTACGCGTGCGCGTCACAGTGCGCCGAGGGTTTGCACTTCAGTGCTTTTCATTGTTCAAGAAAACATTCCAGCTTGAGAAATACCTTTTACATCAGATACCCGACAAACATCGAATAGCTCTAACAAAGCTGCGAGTCAGCTGCCATAAGTTTGCAATTGAAATGGGTCGATACCATCAACCTGTAGCCCTCCCTGTTAACCAAAGGCTCTGCTCAATATGCAACATAACAGAGGATGAAATACACCTAGTGTCAGATTGTGTCCATAATGCCAATCTAAGAAGCAAATTGTTCAATTCCACAACAGGGCTTTATCCATATTTTGGGTCACTGAATTCAGCTGAGAAGCTAGTTGCAATTGAAAGAGAAGCACCTAACCAGCAAGGTAGCCTCTTTTATATACAAATCATTTCTGTTACTATAAGACATATAGCCACCCTGGCTCTTTCATGTCTATAATTATTATTAACCCTCGGCGCGCATGCACAGCGAGGGTTACAGCAGTTGGTTTGTGTGTCTGTGTGTGTGTGTGCGCCGACGCTTATTCTGGCACTACAAGGTGGCCTATTAGCGATACCAGCTGCTTCAGAACTACACGAGCCTGAAAACTAAAAGGGCATTTTTCCTGAAACTACTGCGTTCGAAAGATATGCCGTGAAAACAAGCGAAAAAGCCAATATGCATAATCGAACTTGGCTTACTGCGACCTGATCCGCTCGCTCTGTGTATATACCTTGGGGGCTCAGTAGTCACAACGAATGGCATGTATCGACTCCCACATGCTACCTAATACTGTAGCTAGCCGGTGTCAGACTCTCCGCGAGGTACTAGCGGGAGACTACGAGTAAAAATAGCCCAGCCCATCAATTAGCAGTATCGCGCATGCACAGTTTGCCGAGGGTTTGCACTTTAGTGCTTTTCATTATTATTGCCGAGCGCATTAGCGCGAGGCTACTACTCCGGGTTGTATTCTCGCGATATGCGTACGTATGTACGTGTCGGTCACGCTTAAGAATGTCAATTAGTCACGCTTAGGAATGTAAATTTCCGCTATGCACGCAGATTCGTAGGAAGTCTTGCTTCGCGCGCAGTCAGTAGATCGAGTGCGCGCACGAGTGGCCTCAGTCGGACTGTTTACGCATTGGCTGGCAGGCGTGAGGCAAAATATACGCGTGCGTATTCCTAGTTATTATTATTAACCCTCGGCACGCAGGCACAGCGAGGGTTACGGTAGTTGTCGTGTGTGTCTGTCTGTCCGTCCGTCCGTCTGTCCGCGAGCTATCTCACTTCACGAGCAATCAATCGCTCCACAAACGATACCACGTATTCAGCGTCGGGTAAAGATTGAAAAATAACATGTGGGGTTTTCTCTGAAACTGCTGCGTTCGGGAGTTACGCCGTGAAAACTAAGCCGAGCGAGCCAATATGCAAATAAGCATAGGCTTAACTCGAAATCCACTTGCTCTGTGTACCTTGAAGGCAACAGGTTGCAATGTGGGGCGTATATCGACTCTCGCATGTATCTAGTAGTGTAGCTGGCCTGTTACTGTTACTGGCCACCTTGTAGTGCCAGAATAAGCGTCGACGCACACACACACACAGACAGCGACCTGGTATGAGACCACGAGTCGGTAAAATGGCCCAGCCCATCAATTAGCAGTACAACACATGTGCGTACTTACGTGCGCGCGTTTCGTGTCTGGCACGATCTGTTCGCGCACGCGCAAGATATTCCGTAAAATCTCCGTAACACAATCCCGTTCTCACATAGGCTTCAATTTTGCAGAGAACGTTTACTAAGCCTATTGTAGAGCTAAAGCATGGCAGATACACAGCGAAAACATGTGCCTCACTTGGTAGCATGCTTACCTCGTCTGCAGCCTTTCACAGAAGGCTGTGTAGATCCGTCTTCCTCAAGTTTGCTTTGACATGGAACCCTTCTCTAGCGAGCATGCACGTCTCTGCCGAGGGTTTGCACTTTAGTGCTTTTCATTTTTGAGTGATTCGCACACCCCAGCAAGGCAAATGGCCAGAACTAAGCCGCAGCATGTTGTGGTAACAACATTATATGCCTGAGCACAAACCTAGACAATAGCCTAGCAACCCCAGGAGTTCATAGCACTTTCTGGATGCAACCCTAGATACGTATGTCATAATTGGTAACTAAAAAAAACTTACTAAAACTTCATCCTCATCACTTGAGCCAAAGAAAGGAACATTAATCCAATATGCAACCAACATCCATGTTCCACTAAACTCAACACTTTCTGATTGCGATATGAAATCACTGACTTCAATCAAGAGGGTACTGTCTTCAGTAAAAACACCATATGACACATTTCCTCCCTGAGACAGATCGTTTTCAATCCAGTAAGGGGCAACAAATGGCTTTGTGTCAGAATACGGAAAATCATCAGCAGAAAGCTCATGAGGGCTAAATTCATCAGTTACCATACCAAAAAATATAACACCATTTTCAATAACCTGCAATGAAACAGACAGGAAAAACATGCATAATTATTGTCACTATGTACATAGTATTATGAGGGTTTTATACAGACATTTGATGTTTCTGGCAGAAACTCCAATGTTTTTAGGAAGACAGAGGCCCTAAAATGAGTGTGGCAATGCTAGTAACATTTTGGGAAAGTTTTTGATGGAATATTCTATGAACCCTTGACTGTACTAAACAGTTATGAGCCCGAACATAATCACTTACATACAAAGTTGAATATCTCTGACCAAATACTGGAATCTGACCAGGCACCGTTATTGGATCCGACCTGTTATCCTCCATATGTAGACCTCCCACATCATCACCAAGGTCTAAGTACTGAAGTACACTGGCTGCAAAAAAGATGAAAGACCAAACTGTGGTGCATGCATGATGCAGCAGAAGCTACATACGAAATAAGCAGCCTGACAAAAGTACTCGCCAGATGAAAACATTAACACAGATAGGTGGAATTTATCTTGGATCGCATTTTGAACACTGGTCCATACCTTATACTAATATGACACCTACCAACACAGATTGGTGCTTCACCACTCCACATCCCATCACTCTGGCATATTCTACCTCGATCTCCTGCTAACCCAAAACCCTCATTACACAAATACGTAGCCAGACTGCCCTCTGTGAGGTTGGTCAACAACACCACTCCATTTGCTGGATGCGGAAGACTGGGACACGTGACATCAGCTGAGAAGAAACAAGAAATAAAGGAAGTCCATCTGGAATAATATGCAAACAATCTTTCTCATCTTCCTGTTATTGAACAGAGAAAGCAGACAGGAGTCTACTTCATGGTTTAATTTGACAGCAATAAAACACACTTAAAGCTGTTGTCTTTGCACTAAGTACATCAAAAAATAAATGACAGGAGTAAAAAAATTCTCCCTAACCACATTCTGGCTCAGCATCATCTTCAATCACCACTTCAGTGAATTCAAGTCGATATTCCACGGCGTTTTCATTTTGTACCCGCAGCTGGGCTAAAAGGTTCTCAGAAGGTTCTTCACACAAATCGTCATCAACAATAGAGATTGTGTAACAGATACGGCTATCTCCAGTGTTGAACACAAGCTCAGAAATCACTCCATCATAATCAATTGGCGCGACTGAAACAAAAAAAGCATTCAGTTTGACCGTTTTAATTGAAGTGTGCATTTTAGCAACTCATACTGCAATGCCAGTGTCAGAGCAAATATGCTGCAATAAAAATGGTCATCATGCATAAAAGTAATATTATCAACAGCATTTTCGCCTGCAAGCAACCCAGTATCAGTAGTTATAGTCAGTGAGAGAATAGCCTTAACATAGTGCCCACTCAGATCTTTGCTTACACACGGCAATTTATAAGCTTAGACAAAGAGCGTACTCTTCGTTTTGACAACAAATCTGTATACCTGCGGATAAATCCATAGTAGTAGAAATAATAACAAAAGGACGCATGACGGGTCTTTGGGTCGTCACACATAACTCAACTTCCCCATCTCCTTCATTCACACTATACCTTGCATCTTCATAGCCAACCTGTATCACTAATAATGAAACACAAAAGACAAGTGAACATACAAAGAACACAATAGAGCAAAGTTTGACAATGGGAGTGACCCAACTGATAGTAATCTGGTATATGTGTCGCAGATATTTGGTGGAGGCACACCTGCTGGCAAATACGTAAGCTAGCACTGAATGGTCTGCCGGTAGACACGGCCTACGTAGTATACACTGTGCACTCGCGTCATAGAAAATTGAGGGGGTGTACTTGTTTTTGTGCATGGCAATCTGGTCCTGTCAACTGTAAACTTAAGCCACTTGCCAGTCTCTGGTACTTTTTTTCTACAGTGAGTCCAGTTAATGATGCGCTGTTCGTACATTAAGAGAACACTGTACTCATTGCCTGTGCTATGCCTGTTTAGCGTTGGAACTACATGTATACGCTCGAGGGTTTTAGTTTGGTGTTGCGCATCAGCAATACAAGTGCTGAAGGTGAATATGACCGACTGCTCCCCCATCTCAAAGTGGTAATATCCAAGAATATACGTTGAAGGAAATGGAAATATATTCCTGGTTTTGAGTCAAGCAAAGGACTTAACACTCTCTTCACCCAGGAATAGCATTATGCTACCTTAACAAGATTCTTTGAACTGAAGAATGGAGAACACAGAGATGGTATAAAAAGCAAGGAGACAAGAAAGGGATGAATGGTCCGTGTATCCGGCATAACAGTCCCAGGCGTAACCGTGTTCTCCCCAGGATTTTGTGAAGGCTTGTCATTTTGGCCTTTTTGAGTTGCTATTTATTCATGCACATGTATGCATAAGTGATACTGTGCATTGTCAACTAAAAAAGGTTTTCTGTTAAAAAACAAAACCGAACTTAAACCTGTATTCTACGGTTTCGCCACCCAGCCCAAATATCACAAGCTTAATCGTATGGAAAGTCTGTAGGTGATGGACCTTGGATGGAAATAGACAGCAGGTAGTTCATAATTTTACTGCTAAGTCGATTTCGAAGGTCTGTTTTTATCCTTTGAAGAGCTGAAAATCCCTGTTCGCAGTCCGCCATGTACATTGGCAACAGTAGGCCAATTGCAGCAATCTGAGATAAATTTGGAACATTGCCTGTAGTGTAGAGTTATCCACTAGAGCTATCATTATCTCCCTGGTAGATAATTTTCGTAGTCTATCTTCGGAATTGATAAATAATGGGTACTCTGCTTTCATAGTGAACACACAAAGTGTCCAGCAGTGGTTTTCCAGCTGACTGGCGCTGTACTGGGTCTTCTGGAAGTGACTTTACATCAAAGATTGAGAATGCTTCAATGATGTTTACGTCAGGAATTCAGTTTTCAAATGTACTTCTGGTAAATTTTCTCAACATAACTCTCTCTTTGTTCGCTTGAAGGGTTTGAGACATTCAACTGCTGCAGATTCTTGAGCACCTCAGGTAGACTCTGAAATTGCTCTCCTGGGGTGTCCTGTTACGGTAAATTGCTCACACACATTTTCCACCTCATAAGCCCTATAATGTTGCGAAGCCATGAAGTTAGTGCACTCCCTGCCAAATAATCGAGACTTGAGCTCTTACCCAAGCTACTGCGGTAAATAAGAGTTGAGCCTGCTGCTTGGACAGCTGTGTGTTACTGCTATACCCCTCACAGTCATGTCAAGAGTGTACATGTATGCCAGTTTCACAGTTTTGTAAATAAAGAGGCAACAAAAAGGGACCAGTCACCTTGTCTTGTCTCCTTGATTTCCCTATATTATTCACTATTAACCTTGTCTCCTTCCTCTTTACATGCAACAACAATAGCGATGACAACCAGACTTTGAATTACAAATGAAAAGCACTGAAGTGCAAACCCTCGGCGAACTGTGCATGCGTGATACCCCTAATTGATTGGCTGGGCTATTATGTATGCGTACTCGTGGTCTCCCGCTAGAGTAGCTCGCGGAGAGTCTGACGCGGGCTAGCTACAGCTTTTTTACCCGTTTGTTGTGTGTGGTGGCAGAAAACGTGGTAACAGACGGACAGACTAAGTACTGTAACCCTCGCTGCGCATGCGCGCCAAGGGTTAATAATGCAACTTAAGCTGGTAAATGCTAAGACACAGGTCAGACTGATATGTAGGATTTGAATGAAACTGAGAGTAGCATGGGCATGATGTTAGACTAGAATGAATGGAACACATTTTGGGCAAGCAGGCGTGAGCAGTTAAATATTTCACGCGTGTGTAGTACATTACGGCAGTACACCGCACCGATCATTTTGCTTTAGTATGAAAATGGTGTACCTACCACACTCAGGCTCAGCTGTGTCATTGATATTGACCCTTGTTCTATCTCTTGTGATAATGATAGGCATATCCCCACTGTAATACTCCAAGTTGGAGAAGAAGTCTTCAAAAGGTGTCTCGCAATCGTCACCATCAATGATTACGACATCGTGGCATACACGATCATCTCCCACTTCAAACATCAGTGGAACATCAACTACTCCAGCATAGTCAGAACCAGAGACTAATAAAAATGGGGGGAAAATATTTTTGCATGTTGCTGAGAAATTGTTTGTACCAGCAGATCCATCTTCAGTGGTGGCATTAATAGTGAACGGTCTTGGCGAGCCACCAGGGAAGTTTATAACAACAGTACACAGAGTGACAACTCCAGTTCCCTCAGTAGTGGTGTAGACTGAGAACTCGTAGCCAACTTCAATCGGATCTTTAAAAATATAGAAACACATGAGCAAGTTTCACTTTAGGTAACTAGGACTTACCACACTCTATTTCACCAGAATCGTCAATAGTGACTGTAGCTTGATGCACAGTCACAGTGACATCAGGAAAGCCTCTGTCCAGGGCAATGTTGGAGAAGAAATTCCCATTTGGATTCTCTTCACAATCATCATCATCATTGATGGCAATAGTATGTGTCTGAGTGACATCTCCAGCATTGAACTGTATGATCTCACCAGCCACTGGTACATAATCACTATCGGCAACAGCTAGTAGGGTTACATACATACATTTGCAGTGAGCTATATAAGTTAATAACATTTAGCACAAATGGCATATGCACAAAAATACTCACGTGAAAAACTATGCCATTCACAGTCATTGTTCTATCTTACATGCAACATTTGACACTTAAAGTTGACAGCATGTAGGCATAAGAGAGATCTATAGTACTCATTACTTTTCAATGCAAGGTTTTACATCAATAAAAATTAAGAGACCATGCTAAAAATGTACGCTTCTCCTGTTACATTGGTAACAGAGACAGACCCATACCCACAAGGAACAGGTACTACAGCCCTATAGCTTGCAGTGCATTCGGTTTCTAGTATATACATTAATTCAGAACATTTCTGGTGAGTGGGAGTGACATCAAACACTCTTGAATTATAAGAACTGCGTAACATCTAAACATTATACGTAGCTACAGTGAGGCGACACAGTAAGGTAAAAATCATGCCATTTAAACCACTAGGTTAGCTTGCTCATGTTCAATGATAGCATGCTGTCACACACGCTGTAGATGATAGCATACTTGCAGTGCCATCTTGTGTGTTGACAACAACAGTGAAAGGTCTTGGAGCTCCACCGGGATGACTGAAGACCCTAACTGTGAGAGTCACACTTCCATCACTTTCAGTTGTTGTATATGTGGCAGGATCGTAGCTAACAGTGATTGGTTCTGGGTAATTGCAGGCATAATTACATCTTGATTCAGTATCAAAATGGTGTACCTACCACACTCTGGCTCGGCAGTATCATCGATAATGACCTGTGTTCTATCTCTTGTGATAATGATAGGCATATCCCCACTGTAATACTCCAAGTTGGAGAAGAAGTCTTCAAAAGGTGTCTCGCAATCGTCACCATCAATGATTACGACATCGTGGCATACACGATCATCTCCCACCTCAAACATCAGTGGAACATCAACTACTCCAGCATAGTCAGAACCAGAGACTAATAAAAATGGGAAAAAAATATTTTTGCATGTTGCTGAGAAATTGTTTGTACCAGCAGATCCATCTTCAGTGGTGGCATTAATAGTGAACGGTCTTGGCGAGCCACCAGGGAAGTTTATAACAACAGTACACAGAGTGACAACTCCAGTTCCCTCAGTAGTGGTGTAGACTGAGAACTCGTAGCCAACTTCAATCGGATCTTTAAAAATATAGAAACACATGAGCAAGTTTCACTTTAGGTAACTAGGACTTACCACACTCTATTTCACCAGAATCGTCAATAGTGACTGTAGCTTGAGGCACAGTCACAGTGACATCAGGAAAGCCTCTGTCCAGGACAAAGTTGGAGAAGAAATTTTCATTTGGATTCTCCTCACAATCATTATCATCATTGATGGTAATAGTATGTGTCTGAGTGATATCTCCCGCATTGAACTGTATAATCTCACCAGCCACTGGTACATAATCAACAGCTGCATGAAATAAAGAAGCTCAATTGGCAGGTGTTTTGCAGCCTGAAACATACTTGCAGTGCCATCTTCAGTGTTGACAACAAGAGTGAAAGATTGTGGAGCTCCACCGGGATGACTGAAGACCCTAACTGTGAGAGTCACGCTTCTATCACTTTCAGTTGTCACATATGTGGCAGGATCATAACCAACAGTGATTTGTTCTAAAGAAGAGAAGAATAGAACACTCTGTCAGGATCATCAATTTGTTCTAACGAGAAGGGTAGACAGGTGATGAAATGATTGGTTAGAGCTAGAAATAGCCATCTAGGGCTAACTGGGTAGTTAGGCCTCCTTTATTTCTAAGAGGGACTGAGCCATACATTGTATAACTATGAGTTTTGTAGCTAGAGCCAAGCGAGTGAACCATTAGGTACGTGCTTTGTAGCAGAGCTGGAAGTCTTATGCATTTCTGGAGAGATTGATGTATAATTCAAGATTGCCATTTACGCACGTTATAATCCGGTGCCTGGAAAACTTCTGATGGGTTTATACATTTACACCATTGCCGTTTATCCTCTAGAAACTTGGGATGGGGGAAAGCCATGTAAACACTCGAAGTTTGTAAACGTAACATCACGTCTGGTATCACCTGGTTTGGCAAATGCTAGTGGCGGTGAGCCATTACTCATTAGCACTATGTTTCCAAGCCAAATGTAGTAGTGTATATCCATGCCTACGTAGCACTGATGCTGTTGGTATTGCTGTTTGGTTAAGTGCGAGAATAGTGGAACCAGACAAATGACAGACAAGCAAACCCTCACTAAGGTGGTATACATATCATCTACGAACCTTGACCGCAAACAACACCGGCAGCAAACCCTCACTAAGGTGGTATACATATCATCTACGAACCTTGACCGCAAACAACACCGGCATCTTCATCATGACCACAGTTATGAACTCCCACTTCAAGATTAGGACAGGACTGCAAAGACTCTTCATCTCCAGCACATGATACATCATCCAGCCATATCACCCCACCCCCCTCCCCAAACCCAGCATTTCTTATTGGGATGGCAGCTACATAATAATAACAATTATTAATTGCAAGAGAGGCAAAATGTCTATCAGTGAGATATAATGATAATATGCCTGACTTATGGATTGTGTAGCTGTGACTGTAGTAGATCCTGGCACCAGATATAGCTACTGCTGATACGCCTTACATCAATTTCTTTGCAGAATAAATTCGAGCCAAGTCAACAAGCTCCTGTGGGTCTTACCTGAGGTCCCTCTCAGTCTGGCAATGATCTTACCCTAGCACTCCCTTGAGCCCTGGGTGTTGTGTTTAGTAGCTACAGCTTCTGGCACTAGCCTTGCAAGCAACATATTGTGGTCCAGGGTCTGTAGTTAAAACCCTACAGTAGCTCACTTAGATGTGTTTACCACAGTCTATACCTAAGGATGAGCATGTTACAGTTCTCAGTTTGCTCTAACAGCCCTAAGAGGTGCAAAAAGGAATATTATTTTTCAGGTGTATACAAGTTCAGACGGGCTGATGTAGGACACATTATTTTGTGTTCTGTTTGTCTTGCTTAAAGCATGAAAGATAAGTGCTGTAGGCATAATAAAGATACAAGATAGTCATAACGCACGAGGTGCAGCTGAGTGTTTTATGGGCCATTGATTGACACCAGCCTGGAGTACATCTATAAGCATATTTTTTTGTGCTTACTGTGGGTGGTTCAAAGGCAATTGGCAGGAACTAAGCCGGTTTGAGGCCAAGCAGGTCATCTGACCCCGCCACTCAGCACTGCCGACGTGATAAGAATGCTCCACAAAGGCAAAGACACAATCGCTACAGCACTTAGTGGTAATTCACCTAGGCTGGATGATCGAGACGCCTTGGGCAGGAATGCTTGCACGGTTACTCACAGATATGGCCTGCCTCTAGCCTCACAGGGTCGTGTTGCTACATAGCTCACCTCCTGATCATAAGATACGCCTCTGGTACCCATCTATCCCTCTTGTTGTGACTGATACTATCGCATTTGGATAACATTGCTGTATGAGCAATAAGTGTAAAATTATGATGAGTAAGCACTGGCGATGATGCATCCATGCAAAGTAAAAGTATTATAGATACAAATGAAGCCCCAGAAGCCCTTTTCACTCTTCTTTCTCTTTCTTATAGAGTATATAAGTCAAGCGTGAGGTTACTTTCACATACATTCAGGCCAAAGTTTGTATCATGTTCTTACATGAGGATGGGAGATTCAGTTGGTTACAGACGACACGTGCATCATTTACATCCCAGGAGTCATCACATATAGTTCCCCACACATTATTGTAGCAAACTTCAACTCTTCCTGCAGTAGCATTGCCTCCACTCAAACGCACTGTCCCACTAGAACATTCTAACAGAAATATACACAGAAAACATGGCTAATAATGCATATTATATCAACAGAAAAATTGAAGTACTAAAGTGCTATCCCTAGCGCAAAAAGAAACCTGCTTGCACAGGCTGCAGTGGTAGTTAGACAATATGTGTGTGAAAAAAGCAGCACTAATTAATGGACTAGACCATGCCACGCAGTATAGCCAATGACAGTTTCTCCCCCTAAACATGACGTACCTGCACCAGGATTTTGGTTTTTTGTCCCTCCATGGTGAAATTAATGGTCACTTGCCATTAGTAAAATAGCTTAGTTACTTCACACTATAACTCACAGAAATATGTATTGTATCTGTGCACGTAGCAATGAAGCTGTTAGTGTAACTCAATGGCAGAGTTGTAGCCTGTGGTGCCATAATAGCTGCAGACGCACAAACAGACAAACACTGACCAAGTACTGCAACCCTTACTGCATATGTGCACCAAACACTGTTTAAAATTCCCCACTGATTAGTACACTGTGCTGCTCGTTCCAACTGCTACTGTATGTGGTCAATACTCAAGTGAACTCTAAAAGCTATTCACTTTGTCCATGTAGTACAATGTCGACTCTAGCTTGAAGTTCATTCATGCATTGCAGTTGGTTGTTTCTAGTGATGGCCAATATTCGATTTCATGCAAGAATAATACTTTCATGAGAATTTAACAGCACACGCTTATGTAAAAAAGACAGAAAGAGAAAAGAATTGGCTATAAGGGACTACTTGTTAGAAAAACAACCACATGAAAAGCATACTAGAAGACTATCTATACATGCAAGAGCACAGGGGTAGCTATAACAGACAAAACCGGACAAGACGACACGGTAGTATAAAAAGGGAGACAGCAAATGGTAACATGCATGAAAAGGGGTCGCATAGATCACTAAGAACGCTAGTACTTCGTATAGTGGGATGGGCATGGTACCTACATTATACGTAGATGTATGGGGCTATGATAGGGAAGGTTTTCATCATCTTCTTCTCCTTCAGATTTGACACAATAACTCAAAAATGAAACTCTTTAGGAATGTTGATATCCACAACCGGATGTGCATGGTACATTGCCCCAGGCAATTCATTATAAAGGGCACACATGTGGTGTAAGAGCTATGTGAATGAGACGCAATGAATTAAAAAAGCAGATCAGAAAAAACAATACATATGTGTAAACAACAACAGACACTTCCTATAAAACTACTTCTTCACTGCTCAAACTGTAGCACAGATGCATACGCATGCGTATTACATCATTTCCATGACACCAGCATGTTTGACTACATGTTTGTAAACAGCAACAAATAGCCACAGGGACTTCTGTTTAGCACGCACAGAAAAGAAACCAGGCTACAACAATATAGGCATTGTGTGATGGGGTTTGGCGTGTCAGCTTGCATGCTAAAATCTGTTCGTTAACCATGCTTCAAGTATCCCATCCCTATCTTGCCTCCCTTCCTTTTTATGCCATCCCTACGTATATTCCTCTTTATTGAATATTCAAAGGCTTATTTAGTTACTTGTACAACTATAAAACATACAATGTAAACAAATACACGAAAAATAGCATCCGCATACCAAAGCAGTAGCTCTAAAAGTTAGTGTACGACTACCTTGACATCCAAGTGGGTGCAAGGCTACGTAGGTTCTTGGCATGCAATATTTCAGTCTTTGTTTTAGTTAAAGCACAGAAGAAGGTGCTACTGTATGTGTAGAGAGGGTGTGGTCACCAAGATCAGACTAACTGACCTCGCAGAGCTATGTTGAAAAGTTCTGTTTGGCAGCCATTTGTACTGCAGCAATTTATAAACTGTGCTATATAAGCAGTACTTACATAGTCTCTTGCCCAGACACTCCACCCAACTGAGAAGAAGATTGCAGAAAGCTTGTAGATTGTTCAACAAAAGTTCTGTCTTTCTTCTATCACATCTACGCTTGTGGGTTTATACTAATTGCTGAAGGTATATATTAAAGGAGAAACAATGACCCTTCTAGCACACACACACAGAGAACAAGGAGCAGCATTCGCACGAAAAACAAAGCAGTCTTAGAGTGAGTGCATCCAATTAAGGTATGGGGGCATTAGGACCAAAAAGGTGCACAATGTTAAAACCATAGTGAGTGAAGTTTCTGCGCATGAGACTAAGCAATACTCCACTACAAAAATATTACGAATAGGGAACTATATGCCCACACTAATCAAAAATGTGCACACAGAAGTATGTAAAAAGCACAACTTTGTCCCAATTTCTGCCGCATAACAATATGCTCGTACAACCCCATGCAGAATTTCTTGATGTGTCAACATACGAGTTTTCTGTGCGTATTTTACAAAAATATTACGAATAGAGAACTATATGCCCACACTAATCAAAAATATGCACACAGAAGTATGTAAAAATCACAACTTTGTCCCAATTTCTGCCGCATAACAATATGCTCGTACAACCCATGCAGAATTTCTTGATGTGTCAACATACGAATTTTCTGTGCGTATTTTACAGACCCATGGGAGGGATACCCATTAGTTCATAATGAAGCCAGGTAACAGTATGACGAAACGGTCTTACCAAAAACACAAGCAACACTTGCATCTTCCCGATGACGACAGTTATTAATCCCTACACCATTATGAGCACAATCCTGTAATTCACTCTCGGTACCACTGCAAGCAACTTCATCCAGCCAAATAGTGCCTGCACCTTCCCCAAACATCGCCCTTCCTATTGCAGTGTGTGCTGAGATTAATACAGCAAGAATAATAGTAGTACACTTTGTCATTGTGGATATATATTTTCCAACATTTTGCTAATTATTTAGCATTGTGATATGGGTTACGTGCTCTATTGATATAAAAATGTGAGGAGACAAGTAAATGAAAATCATGCTAATTTTAAAGAGGGATATACGTAAGGATGGTATAAAAAGGAAGGGAGCCAAGATAGGGATGGGATACATGAAGCATGGTTAAAGAATAGATTTGAGCACGCTGACACCCCGACCCATCACACAATCTCTATATTGTTGCGTAGGTTAACTATGCCACATTCACCATAATTATGTCAGGACCTCGAAATTACAAAAAAAAGTCATGCTACTGAGTAACTAACACCCACACTTCCTATTGCAGTGTGTGCTGAGAATAATACAGCAAGAATAATAGTAGTACACTTAGTCATTGTGGATATATATTTTCCAACATTTTGTTAATTATTTAGCATTGTGATATGGGTTACGTGCTCTATTGTGCAAAGATAATTTTCTCTGCCCTAACTGATCAGACATATTTTTCTATCCGTTGGCATTCAAGCCATCTGGTCACAAACGCTTAATGCCTCAATTATTACTCGTGACACATCTCTATAGAAGCAGAAATTGCGTGCATTTTATAGAAGTCGCAAATACATAACACAAACCGCTTATACTTGCAGGATAATTCTGTTCTGTGTGCTCTACGGTATTATTACTTAACAAATAATTGTTGGGATAAAAAACTACTGTACGTCTTGTTCCATGTTATATCAGCCACGTTGTTCTTTGGCATAGTAGCATGAAAGTTATTTTGACAAAAAACCCTTGGCACACACACCCGCCATTGCCTTTGCTTGGGTTTCTGGCTTCAAGCAGGATGGCAGATGGGAGGAAGCACAAAGACAACAACTAGTTGATTATCACTCACATGAAGATGGGAATCCAAGTTGTCTACAGACCACAGTAGCATCGTTTATGTCCCAGTTATCATCACAAACAGTTCCCCACTCATCATTAAAACATATCTCCACTCTTCCTACCCCAGGAACAACCTCATCAGCCAAACGTACTTGTCCTTCACATACAGCATCTGGAAGAAGGGAATTAAAACACCACCACTGGTGCAAGTATGAAAACATAATATAATACACGCACAAATTTTCTCCTACCTGTAAAATAGGACATAGTGTTTTAAGTACATTTTGCATACAGTATATGTAACTGTATGAAAAGCACTAATGTGCAAACATTTGCATAACGGCATAACGAAATGAAAGGGCCAACCAATGAACAGAGCATAATACAGCCATAACACTATGGCAAATGACCATGCACCCAGAACACTGGGCGGAGCAGGAACAAGATATACAAGAAATAATGGAGGTACCTGCCTAACCACACAGACACCCAAACACCTCCATGGCGACCCTTTGAAGGTCTCCAGGCGAACTCTGAGATAGGGACAGTTCAACGCCAGGGTATCACCATTTAACTTAGCCTTTCTTAACTTACACGTAGAATGAGCAGTAGAATGAGCGCTAGAATTCACATACTCAGAACATAACAAACTCAAGCAGTGAAGAAAAATTTTCCGCTCACAACTTAGTACCTGTAGCTCAGTGGTAAAGACCCTCTGTTGAGAGCACAGAGTTTTTTTAGTTCGAGTCCCACCTAGGGCAGCTCTTACAGTGTTTTCCTAGTTTTGATGTGCACTTGCCTTGCATTTTACACCCTATGATACATTTACATATGTAGATCAAAACCCAACTATGATAATTAAATGTGGTAGCCAAGGAAAGCCCACACAAAAATAACTTGTTCCTGCTTTCATAGTTACTTCAAGCATTTTTGGCAAGCGGGAGCAAACTAAGCAGCTACGTATGAGTTAACATTACCTACGGTGCACAAAATACTCGATACCTAGAAACCCCTGCATTGGTGGGTGAGCAAGAGAGCAATGTACTGTGGCTATCACAGAAGAGCTCAAGTCACACTTATCCTCAGATGGTGCCTCATGACATTCTCTCTTAAGCAAGAGCAAGAGGCTGTCTCCGGCGAGCACCTTGCCTTGCCAGTCACCTCTCATGGGCCTCTGAAGCGTGACCAGGCTGTCTCTCTCTAATCAGCTATCCTGACTGTCTGTAATGATGGTTAAGTTCTGTGGAATTGAAACCTTTGTCAAACAAAACTCGCCAGCCTTACATACGGTCGGTTAAATGAAATATCCATTGCATTGCGGCTGTTGGTCACTTAGAATCAGTAGTATGTGTGGATACCAGATAGAAACCTTTTTAAATGTGTCGGGATTAGGTTGGCTCGCTCCCACTCTCCAAATCCAGCCTCCCAGGATATACGACAAAAGCATTGTGTATAAACAACTATACAGGTAGCCTACAACCCATACATAAGTATAGTGTACAACTATAAATCACAGAGAAGTGTGCCACAGCCTACAGACGCCCATAAGGGCCATCCATTGCAATTGTACACGATTAATGTTTCCATTTCACACTGGAAATACCATTCTACAGTTGTAGTTCTATTCTACAAGTTTAGTTCAATTCTACAAAACCATTCTAGCCCTTCATTCTCATAGACTACTTCCATTCTGCAATTGCCCCCCTTTGGAGACACACTATATACTTTTAATAATGCAATGCTGGCTGAGGTCCTGGCAAAACTTAGAGAGTTGTCCAATCAGAGAATGAGAGACATGTGACAGAGTTTCCGTGTTCTTGGCGGTAGCCTAGTGTAACGAGAACGAACTTAGACCTTTTACTCTGTCAAAAAATGGGGTGAACAGACTCTTCTAGTGGCCTCGTGCGTGCCAGTACAGAGCAGGAAGTTGCATCATTTACGCATTGCATTACGTAAAATAACCTTTTTAGTAACGTAGGGCATGTGCCAAAGGGGGGCGTTTGCAGAATGAAAGTAGTCTCTAGAATAATTAAGGGAATAGAATGGGAGTAACTTTTGTAGAATGAACTAGAATGGAAATATTTCCAGTGTGAAATGGAAATATCCACAATTGCAGTGGATGACCCTTATTGGCTTCCATCAACAGAAGCACACTTAGGTTTAATTCTAGCAGGCAACAAAATAAAAGGTACCAATCGATATATAACCAATTTTTGGTAAATAGCAATGATAGAGCATGCTGAATACCAACACTTACCAAACAAAGGATAAACTATAGAGTTCCAGGGTGTACAAGGGTAGTTTTCGCATGCTACTTGTGATGAATTGCTGGTACTTGCATATACGTGTTCCATTTGCACTGATTCATTAAAGTAGTAACCAATGCCAGCAACTGACTGTGGATCCAATTTATTACAATTGTAGATGAACACAGCAAAAGATCTTATCCCATTTGTGATGAGTACTGCTTGATATGAATTCACCTAAATCAGAACAAAAGTGGAGGTAGTTACACACATGGCTTGTAAGGTTCGGATTTACACATGATCTTACAATGTTTTTTTACAATGTGCAAATAACTGTATCGCAAACAAAACACATGGATAAATATACGGTTAAATTATTGTCACTGATAATATAAACATGCCCTTTTATTAGGAATATGGGATGTCATTATGAAGAAAGTGTAGGCAAACATTATACTAAGTGTGGAACCCCTCCAATGTCTTACTTGCTGTTTTAATAATGCCTCAGGTACATCCAGCCAATATGCAATCAACATCCATGTCCCATTAAAACTGATCCTTTGAGACTGTGCAATATAATTGCTAACAGTTTGGAGTAGTTCATTGTCCCGTACAACCACTGAATAAGACACATTTCCTTCAATAGATGGGTCATTGTCAATCCAGTAAGGGGAAACAAATGCTGCAGCGCCAAAATGTATGTCTTCAAACCTCACTGGGCAACATTCAAGAGCTGGTACACCAAGAGTTATAACTCCATTTGTAGTTACCTGTGAAACAGAACAATGAAACGATCACCAAATACAGTCACATTAGGCCTTGTTTATTATTCTATGGGAGAGAAAAACCAGTGCACAACTTAAGGGGTCATAGCCATATATATGTACAGTGGACCTTTCTGCTACGTTGTGCGAAGGCGTATTCTAACCACATTAACTATTCGTGACCTCCGTCAGGGGCTATGCAAATCTTGTGCTCAAATACATACACCCGTGTGTACAGTATGAGGAAGAATGGAGCATAAAGGTGAAGAACCATTTGTTCCTGGTGAAGTCACACACTTGTTTCTCTCCCACAATGAACGTATGAGCAATACGCTAATGGCCCGGTAAAACAAGGCCAAAAATCCAAGGATAACACCTAAATTCACTATAAATAGCAAGTGTGTTTTAGCTGTGCTAAATATTGACACCAAGGCACAGCTATGAACTCCGGAGGTAAAATGTCATACACAAAAACTGCAAGTATGGAAAGAGAGAGCCTCGGAACAAGTTTAACACATATACAAAACGCAACCATACACAAATTACAGCAGTGTTAAAAGTTGTGCTCATACAGAAGTTGCACTCACAATATTCCACACATTTTCAAGGGAGGACATTCATACAACTATGCTCACGTAGAGATTAGAGTAGGTCTGCCCAAATGCTCTGAACCCTTCTGGAGGCAAAATAGCTTCTGAAATGGAATCATCTTGCGGAGGTAAAAAGGTCACAAAACCCAGATCCAAAAACTGGAGAACATCATCTGCATAATTAAAGTATTGAATTATCTGGTCATAAGGTCAAAAGAGTCATAATGTTGAGGCATTAGCTATTTATGACATGAAAGCGACCTAACCATGAGCACAAATAATTCCTTACCATTAAATTTTACAGGAAGATCCAGTACAGTTATGGAAGCTCTATCATTAACTATGGTAACTCCGAGTTGTCCGGGTGAAGTGAGTGATAAGAAGAAGGTTTCATTACCTTCTTTTTTACAGTCATCAACAATACTGATTAAAACTTCAATTGGAAATTGGGAAAGTGTAGGTTCAATAGTGCTGGGGGTTTGAAGGGTATAATCATCAGTTTCTGGAGAAACAGCCAGCATTAAGGTTATAGGACCATCAAAGTTTCCAGTGGCAGCAATAACAATTGTGACTTGATTATTTTCCGATACAACAAAAGATGTTCTTTCAAATTCAACTGTCACATTTTGTGTGAACACATCTGGATGTGGATATTAATAAACATAGGTGTATAGTAAAGAGGTAAACTAATAGTTATAACGTATACCACAGGTTACATTCAAATTGCAACCCACACTGAATCAATGTAACAACTACAAAATGCTTACTGAGGATCTCTACAGTTGTCATGGAATTGTCGAATTTAATCTGATTAGAGTCACTCCTCAAAGTAAGTGTTACGAGAAAGAGTTCTGTTTCCTCAAGCACTGCATCATTGATCACTGAAACTGCAACACACTTTACTGACTCCTCTCGGGAAAAGGTTAGTATTGTAGACACAGCTTCAAAATCTTCCTCACCTTCAACAATATAATATCGCATACAGTAACTTAACCAGCCACAGACACATTTGGGACACAAATGTCCTTCATAAATCAAATGCAGGCGAAACAATAAGCACTATTATGTTACATGCAATTTTTTAACATAGTGTCCAAAGGGTACGTGTAAACAACGGTGGACGGCATAACCATTGTGTATACATTCATATTGGTGTAGTATGTAATAGTTAATGTACGGAAGTCAGTACTGTGCGCGTAATAATGGTACGAGGGGCGTGGTCGAGATAGTCATACAGCACGAGGCGCAGCCGAGTTGCTGTATGATCTATCGAGACCACGTTCCAAGTACCATTATCACGCGCACAGCACGTGCTTACGTACATTAAGTTATTTATTGTATGCGTGGGCGATTCAAAAGGCGGCGACCAGGAAAACCGGCGTTCAGAACGGAAGAGAGGACAAGAAGTTCGCGGAGCGCCCTTCCAGCAGCAGTTTGTGTCACCGTCTGAGTCAAACTCCGTCTACGAAAGGCCGCCGAGGGCGTCATTCCCGCAAAGCGTACGCTAGTCCGTGGATATAGTTCAAAAGGCGGCGGCCAGGAAAATCTTTTTTTTTGCAAGTTCAGAAGGACTAGAAGCTCGCGGAGCGCCCTTCCAGCAGCTGTTTGTGTCACCGTTTGAGTCGACCTCCGTCTACGAAAGGCCGCCGAGGCGTCATTCCCGCAAAGCGTACGCTAGTCCGCGGATATAGTACCGTACGTGTGATATAGTACAGTTCCGCGCGATATAGTTCAAAAACCGTTCTGTATGATGAATATAGTACTGGCGGCGCCTTGATTCGCCCACGCAAAATACAATAGTGTATTACAGTACCCATCAAAGTTCTCTAATGACCAACTACTTGATCCCTCAGGGTCTGTGGTCAATAAAAATACCTTTGGTGATGTCAGCAAATGAGTGGGCAAAACGAGTGGTCAGCGAACAAGAGAGACTACACGCTAAGTTCATTGCTAAGCAGAGAGCTGCGATAGGGAAGCGACTAGCATAGTCATTGACATCCGCTGTCCACAAGTCTACATCTGGTTTGGGGTGTCGCTGTGAAAGGCGAGGATAACAGGATTTCTTTAATCCACTAAAATTTTTTGCTACAGTACTATGCCGAAGAAACACATCAAATTTGTCTCTCTGCAACATTTCTAAAACATCACAATGTCACCAGTTCCACAAATGTATTGTGGAACCAGGCTTTGTGCACAAAAGGTATATATACCTGCAGTGCCATCAACAGTGGACAATCCCACTGTAAAATCAAAATCCACTCTCCCATCAATGACGACACATATCTCAATTTGCCCGGTATCTTCCCGCACAGTGTAGCTTGTCTCCATAAATCGAACAATGGCAACTACATAAGAAAATTCATGCATACTGGGTGAGACACGAAAAGTGCTGAAACTGTCTAAAAACACTGATTAGCCTTATCATTAAACATACCAGACTAGTTAAAACAGCAGAAGAGAGCCAGGTTACTTTAGACATTGCAAATTATTATACACTTACTGTCAAAATCCCTAATGCGAATGTGAGTATATCTGTTCTCCACCAAAACTCCAACAGATTCACTACGTATACCAAGATCCAAGAATTCTTCCTTCTCAACAATATCATCATCGATTATATCAATATTGAACAAAACATCCCTGTCGTCTGGCTGAACACTGAAGGATGTAATTAATGACGAATAGTCAACACCAACTGTAATATTAAAGGTAAAGTGTTAAGAGGGTAATAAGAAGATACAGCATTTACCAGTGGCACTTTCATTTGAAGTTACAATGCTGAAATTCACAACTGTGGTGCGTTCTCCAACAACAGATACTCTGATACTCACATTACCATCTTCTTCATCAACACGGTACACAGACTGCTCAATAGATAAAACTGGAACTGTAAAAAACCGGGTCGTATGAAAAGTAGCAGGACATTTTAATAACGGCACATTGGCAGCACCAACCCAGCATTCATTAACCCGCTAATTGGGGATTGTTGTGCCCCCTCTGGACTAGCTACAACCAGCAAACAGTGCATCACAAGTATACAGGCCGTGACTGCGTGCTCATGTAACCAATAAGCGCGCGAGAAATATTTTGTGTACATACACCTGTGTACCACACAGTCGCTGATCATACATGTCTGTAGTGTTTTAAATGTTACACCAGATAATTTTCTTTCAACTAACTTTGTGCCCCCGTTAAACAAACGGGTAATTCATTGGCTTTACGCTAAAGATCCGTAGGCACACAGACAAATATAGACAGAAATCTAACAGGCAAACAGAGAACTAAACTTCAGTGGGCAAAAACAAAGTGACGCATGAGAAGTCAGTAATATACATACCTACATTCATTACACGGATCACAGCCGTTCCTAGAACAACGTTTTGCGGCAGAATATCTGCACTGTGTAAGAGTTGAAGTATAAATGATTCCACAGCATCTTCAGAATTGCGAAAGTCATCAAGTACAATTTCCAACATTATAGTACTTCCAGTGGAACCCATTCCAAGCTCAATTGTAGGGCTGTAGAGTTTAAAATCCTCAAACCCTACAAAATACATAAATCACAAGATTTCATTCAGGCAAAAAATTTAACGAAGTTGCCAAAAGTAAGCAACCAATAATAAGCTGGACAAATAATTACTTAGATGCTAATTGCTTATGAACGGAAAACAATAACAATGCTAATTGCACATGAACGACAAATTTTCCAACATTCTTAGTTCACTGGGATTCAGATCAGACCAAGGTGAATGACAAACATTACATTCTTCAGTGTTGAAAAGGTGGAAGATATACATATCAGTGGATGGAATAATAGTTTATCACAGCCATTTTTAGTGATGCTTCAACTTACAAAATCGCAGAAAAACCTTAATAACGCCCTCTGCTTCCTCAAGCAATCCTCATAATCGTGAGATTTGAGTCTCGTTACCTAGCTAATGCGCTTCTTTAGAGGTGGTTCTGTTGTGTTTATCACTGAACAATGCCTGTATAACTATGATACCGTTTTGATGTATTGCACTGATAACAACGGCCCAAGGTCTATTCCAGCAATTAAAATTTCTCGATTTTGAGTATTGATTGCTTTTGCTAAGTAAACTAAATCAATGACTCTAAATCTTAGGATTGGCTTTTACTATCACTAAGTACTGGTATATTATAGGGATAACTCAGCATTATGTCCATACATTTGAAAAATCCTCAGATCTGAGACCATAGGCCACAGAACCAATGAAGTGCGATATAATACTGGAATGATAGTTATTTGCATGTATGTATATATTTGCAAGGTGATTCACCATGCTACATACACGGTCAAGCTACCAATTATCTTGCACCAGTAGAAAGTGTTAAGGGGATCACTGAATCACTGAAACCCAAGCCCGCCCTTTGTTCTGGTGACTCAAAACTGGCGGGATCTGGTCGAGGTAAGCCATTGCATGTCGGTTAGTTCATTTCATTCTCACCAATTTATAAGGTCAAGCCAGTGAAGCACTGAGAATCACTTTTTTTACCACCCTGTCGCGCGTTGTGGCAGAAAATCAGACAGACGTACAGAAAAGATGAGTAGTGCAACCCTTGCTGTGCATATGCACATGGTAATAAGTATAGGGGCAAAATAATCATGCAGTTTCCCATCAACAAAATCCGACTAATTGACATTCATAACAATCAAAACCTACAAACACAAAAAACAATAACAGTAATCACCAGCATTTGATGATGATTCGTCTGGATTAACTTCAATCACCGTATCAATGGGAAGTCTACCACCAGTAACTGTCACAGGCACAGTGTTATTCATCAAACTTTCAAGCAAAATGTACTCCGACCGACTAAAATCAATATCTGCAGGATTGGTATAAACATTAAAATACACTCCAAAGCACAAAACAATAACTATAGCTTACTAATACATGGTTGACAAGTTCCCTGAGCTGCAGAGAACTCAACAGATTTCCCCCTCAACTGGTTGCAACACAAATCAATAGATGAAACTGAAATTCCATTGTCAGACAAACACTTGGTATCTTGGTGACACGTCATACCTAGTAAAGAAAAATTAAGAATCAAAATCCACAAATGAAAACTACACATACTGGGTAGAGAATCATCGTCTAAAACTGTAATACTCATGGTGGACGGTGCCAGCCTGACTCTTGCTCCAGATTTCAGACTTAGTTGAACTGCAAAATCCTTTGAGCCCACACTGATGGGGTTATCATATGTTGCAATGGTAAGGTTGTACTCAACTGTGTCTTCATCAAAAATTAAACGCATGTCTTGAATTCTTTCAAAATCATCATCCTCTGCAATACATTAATCACACAAAACAAAAACATAACAGTATATATACAACTAACTGGTGACTCTACTGCACATTGCTACATACGTACCAATGGGGGAGGGGTGTTGCCCCTTCACATTTTCATCACTCCTTGAGCCCATTACACAATCAATCCCTTTATAGCTGCCTGGTCTGAACTCTTTTAAAGACTCTATCATTGCGCGAACAGACAGACAATCCAAGTATCTCAACCCTCTGGTGCATGCACGCTGAGGGTTAATTATAATCTAAAAAGCATAGGTTACACTTAGAAGATCTATGTTATTTAAGATCCGTATGTCATATATCCCATATTCACTGCAGAGTATATTTCATCCAATAATAACTAAAATCAAGCCAGTGTAGCACTGAACCTGTTGCTATCGCTCGTTGCCCGATTTCTTGCGCGTGGTGGCAGAAAATGCGGTATCAGACAGACTGACACACTCACGAACCAAGTACCGTAACCCCTGCGTGTGCATGCACGCCGAGGGTTAATTAGCAGTCATAGCATTAAAAACTGGGCAAAGCTAGAAAGAGAGTAACATACCACTTGCAAACTCCTCACTCATAACTATAAGAGGAAAACAGACATGAACAGGCATCCTTCGACGTGAAAGTGCAGGACACGCTAAACGAGCTTGGAAATTGTTAACGGGCCACATGCCCAAAGGTTGTGCTCCAAGAATGTGCAGTGCCTTACTAGTTGGGCGAGAGGCCAACGATAATAGTTAACAGCCAGCAGGAGGATCGAGCACACACAAGGCCAATACTAAGACAGCAACATGGCATACACAGAAGTGATGACGAAGCATGATGTAGGTTTTTCATGTGTAACTATCTAGTTGCAATGAAAATTGGTAAGTGGTAACCTAGAAATTCCAGACATACTCTATAAAATGAAGTTGAGTAGGGCAAAAATAATGCTGACAAAGATGGAAGATATGGCAGAAGAAAATGGCAGCCAATTGAAAATATGTCTTCCTTGGGTGGACTTGTCTCTCATGAAAAGAGGTAGTGCCCTACATGCACATGCTGGATACATACAACTCGAGTAGCAGCTAAGGTCAGATGGCTCTATCACCTATAGAAAATACGACCTCACATGCAAATCTGCATTATAGTGCATTGTGACAAAACCTGTAGGCCTGATTGGTACATCTTCGAGGTACAAGCAAGAGAGTGATTAAAGTAAAATCCCGGCAGCATCTTGGCTCCTCACATACCTATTGCTGTCCTTGACAATGTTGACAGTGAAACTTCAACAGGAACACTTAAATCTCCATTTATTACTCTGACGGTCACTGGAATAGTATCACCTTCTCTCACAGTTGCAGTATTAACCACTAAGCCAATTTCCACATCTAAATAAAGAAGCGAGCAACGTGCATTGAAAACTAAGAAGAAGAAACATACCATCATTATCCAAAATCCAAATTGTTGACTTTATTGGGAGGATTAATACACTCTCCCCCTCATGGTGACTCAATGAAATGCTAAATGACTCAGGTAGTTCCAGTTGATCGTCATTAAAAATAGAGATAAATACCGAGTTAAATGACTTTGACTTTGAAAAAGTAACACTACTCCTTGGTGACATGTAGTCTTCTCCACCTGTAAAATTTACAAGATATCATTATCATGGGTGTAGTGGATAGATTACTATATTTTTAGTACTGGTTGGTTATACATATGGCATTATGTGCAGCATTGTGTTAGGTTCACAATATGTGACATTATATTTATATTTATCGATTTGTAGGCATGCCACTCAGTGGCAGGCTGCGTCATGAGAAAAAGTCTACCCCAACCCTTACAACACATGCTCAAAGTGCATAATAGGCAACTGGATATTTAAGCGAACAACTTCAGAGCAGTCACTGGAGTACTAGAGGCATTTTGGCTTCACTCGTCAATTACATGTTGGGTCTCTTCTCCTGCCGTACTAATCGTTTGGGCAAAAATCGTTCTTTGCGTTCCTCCAATTATGAGAGCTTCACCAGACGAAAACGTTATGCTATTTCCGCACTTCTTGGTGCATGCACATGCGAGAAGAATATTAAGCAACGAAGAATCAGTTTTGCTTACTGGAACAAATTCATGTTACCAAACGAAACAAACTCGCTATATGGTACCCTCCTTCATAAAAGAGGAAACAAGTGAACCTAAAACAGGTGTACTTAGCACCAGTCAAAGTTGATAAAAAGGTGAGTTACTGCTGTGCAGTATATAAACAATTTGTCAACATGGGTGTGGAAAATAGTGACATCACTAAGGCATAGTTGCATAACAAGTGCTGAGATAAGTTAATTTCCCAATAATTCACTACTTAGCTTCATAGAACAATAAAGGTACATACATCTTGCACTGTTGTCTGGTCACTGTAAGGCCTAAAATGTCTTACATCCTGCCAGGAGGGTGAGTAGAACACTCAGGGTGCAAGATTAAGGGTTGGAACTAGGTAGCCGCATTGGCTCCTACGTAACTGAGCGTTTACTTTGCCATTGCTTTCCGTTGAACATTTAAAGTTGCATAACACAGGGTGAGCATGTATAATTATAGCCTGTCCCGCCTACATGCTTTGTCTCTTTAATTCTAGCAAGCCAGGAGCATATCTAGCTTCGTAGCAATTCAGACAGCCAGGATTGAGCGTTGTTTTAAGCGACTACTCCAGCTCCCAGATTCGCATTGCACACAACGCACATGAGAGCTAAGAACCAACGTTGAAAACCAGAGAGCTTGTCACAGTCCCATTTGGCAACCGTTAATTTCGTACCCTAACACCTAACCCACAGGTACGCCACAAGAATACGTACATCGAATTAAAAAAGTGTGGAATATAGGGATGCCATAAAAAGCAAGGAGACAAGACAGGGATGAGGGATGACCTAGTGCATGTGATGCATTAGTACAATGGGATGATGGTTAAATGTTCAAACTGACATTGCTTGCTCATGTAAATTTTCCTCCACACAAGTGTACCAAAATTCATTCTCAGACGGCCCACCATAAGCAAGTTATAGGCACAAATATCATTTGAAAGTTTTTATTGCCTGAGGCGTTGTTGTTGTTCTTGTAATGTGTACATTTTTATACTTATGATGGTTGCATATGTGTACACAGTTTTATCATTCTGGGTATTTCCTCTACCTAGTTAGCACACTTTATTGGTCTAATGTATGGCCTGGGGCTATTTGTTGTTGTTTACATTAAAATGCTCTTGCACGCAGGGTCACGGATTCCAAACTTTGTGCAAAGTTTCATCTCCATATCTTACCTGGTTTTTGAGATACGCTTGTCTAAACAACAACGAAAACAAGAAGAATATTGAAAACTGACTTTATTGAATAAATCAATTACTAAATATGCGATTTAAGCCATGGCTTAGTACATGCTCTTTTTGACGATAGGGATCAGACTGATGTGTCAGAAGTTGGATCTGATTGAAAGTGAAAGTAAAACGTACAAATCTCAAATGCATGGGCATAATGCAGAACAACCTGTGTCATCCCTATACACTAAGTACTACCGTACATAGTGATAAAAACCAATACCTTTGGCACTCTGTTCAACTGAGGTCAAAGACACCACCACATCCTTTTCTAGTGAGCCAGAAAGAATCTCCATATTGATGGTGGCATTACTTCCTTCAGTAACTTCCTGAGTCACTGGATTTACACCAATGACTATCACTGCAATAAAAAAATGCAAGCATGAATATACCAATATGCTAGGGTACATACACTCCTAAAAATACCTCATGTTTGCAGTATTGCACAAAATTTCGGGCGAGGGTTACATCAACTGACAACTTCAATGAAAAAGCACTAAAGTGCAAACCCTCAGCGAACTGCACATGTTAATAGATGGGCTTGGCTATTAGTATGCGTTTACTCGTGGTCTCCCGCTAGTAGCTCGTGGAGAGTCTGACACAGGCCAGCAACAGTAGTAGATAGCATGCAGGAGTTGATACACGCCCTTCATTGTGACTTCTTGTGGCTTCAAGATACACAGAGCGAGCGGACCCAGTCGAGGTAAGCCTGTGCTAATTAGCAATTGGCTCGTTGACTTGGTTTTCATGCCATAACTTTTGAACGCAGCACTTTTATGAAAATCACAATTTTAAAAATGAAGCCAGTGTAGCGCGAACCCGTTCGTGTCGCTATATTACAACGTGGTAACAGACGGACAGACAGACACACAGATCAAGTACTGTAATCCTCGCTGCGCATGCATGCCGAGGGTTAATAATCCAGGTGGATGGCTGTGTAATACACAATTAAAACCATGGATCCTATTAGTCTGGCGGAGCCACACCCATGTGCGTGAAGGTGGAGGAGGGACTGGTTCAAAGCCAATAAGACAGGCACAGGGATGGGGTACATACCCAATTTTCTTTTCTCTGAAATCCACTCTCAATAATTCTACATGTACTCGTTTTTGCATAGGACAACACAGCTAGCAAACTATGGTGGCATAAAGGTGTGAGTTACCAACTTACCTATGCGTGTGTGGTACAATAGAGCAAATAAAATGAGATTTCACAATAACAAGAGAACAACAAAACCTTCTAGCTATAGTATGTATATTTTAAAGGACGTTTAAACCTCAACATTTGTGTTTGACATGCTGATGTTTACACGCAAATGTTAATGAAACACTCGTCCCTACCCAAATGAACAATGGAATACAGGCACACGGGCATGCAAAATTGACATATTCATTAACTGCTGAAGGATTCAACCCACGACCTACCCTATCAAACAGAAATGATACACAGTTTAAAGGAAACATGCATACAAGCCAGTGTTTAATGTGCACGTGAAGATTTACCATACTGTCCAAAACTATGCCCACTGTGAAACGCTGCACATTATAATAGTGCTCTGCTAGCACAAGATAAGAACACCAATGAACTATAATAAAATGTGTGAGCTGTATGGATGATTATATTGATTCCTGCCCTTACAATCCACGCATGCAGCTATAAAGTAAGTTTCCATCATTATTCAGATTGTGACAGATCTACTCATTGTAGGTGTATAAAAACTCACTGTCATCATCATCAATATTGATTGTGGCAACCGAATCTATGACTTGAGCAGGGAACCTTAGCCCAGGTGTCACTTCAATCACTGCACTGAACATTCTCTTCTGCTGCAATGCTGGATTGTTAAGCACTTTAACACGAACTGTTGCCATAACATCTTGTTGTTCAAAAGTTATGACTGTACTCAGTGGTTCATAATCTATTCCTGCAACTGAAAAATAGAACTAATTTTACTGACTTGTACCAATAGTCATTTTCCCCCCACGAACCTGCTGTCCCATCTACCGTATTAAGATTTACTGAGACTGCTCCTACAGCTCCTTCTGATTTCGTCAGAACTAACTCAACAAAACCATTTCCCTCCAGCACTGATATACTTGTTATTCCAAAACTGATATTCACCACTGAGGAAAATGGTTTAAACATGGTAAATCATGAGTGACATAAGATTAAACAGTGTTGTGTTGTTGATAGCACACATTAAACATGCAAGTTTCTGCCATTTGATGTTTCTCCCCACTATCACCCAGTAGCATAATGCACCCTACCATTGAAAATGAACACTAGCATTCAAAAAGCCACCGAAATTGATTTGTGGTTCACAAGGTGTAAATGACTTACTATTAACACACCATAAAAGACTTGCAGCCATATGGGCACTTTACAGTACATATGTTCCAAGTTTATGTAGCTGGGGAAAGTATATATATTATGTATGTGTTAACGATTGGTAATGCTCTAACAAGCTGTTCCTTGGCCATCACAACTTGTATACTTTGCTCCTCCTCTCACAAACCTGGAAGTGGTTCATCATCATTCAGTATAGTGGCATAAGCAAAACCAATTGGAGAGATGAGAACTCCTGGAGTTGCAGTGATGTATACTTCAAAAGTTTTATTAGCTTCTGGGAAAACATCATCTTCCGGAAGATTGATGGATACCAATTTTGATGACTCATCAGGATCAAACACAACCTCAGTATCAATTGGGAAGTAGTCTACATCAGCTACAAAACACACACAAGTCACCACCAAAGACAGTGTAACTAGAAATTTGCAACAATACCTATAGCAGAAGTTGTCTCTTGGAGATCCCTCGTCTTGAGTCTAATGCTAACAGTGTTTGATAGAGTTGATGATCGTTGCAGCATTAACATTACTTCTAAAGCTCCATCACTCTCATTAGCTTCAAAGACACTTGCACTGAGAGTTACACGATGCACTGAAAGAAAAGTTGGCATAATTACGAAGTTTAATTGGATAATGTGCATCATTTATTTCTAACATATTTCTATATCTTGCCAACATTAATAACCCAAACCAAAGAGTTACTTGCTACACAGCCAGTTAGCTTAGATCAATTAATATACACAAAACTTACAGGCAATAGGCTTCTGGTTAAAGCCTGCAGCAAACCCTTGTCCAATACGCATCCCAAATGAATAAACAGTTGCACTGAAGAGGACGTCCGGATTGACATGGGAGAGAATATAGGCCGTGTCTGATACATTAACATCAAGCTGAGCACCATATGCACAATGATGCTCGTTAACATCACAAAATATCTCTGTCCAGTTAGCACTAACACGGGACTCATCCAAGAGCATAAAATCAATATCAGTTTGATTATCAGTAACTAAAACAATATTGACAAAGTAGGACAAATTCCTTTCGTATTGTGGCTCAAATGTTGGTATTAGATACTTGCTTCTATACTGTCCAAATGGCGGAATTATCATCATAAAAGGATCAGCACTCACATTGTCCACACCAGAAGCAACAGCCAACTGAACTACAAGAACTGGCTTGTTGCTCATAAATCTACAATATTGTTCTGAAGAAACATTGACAGATACAACACCACCAGCTGTCGATATGATTAGGTTAGTGGTTTCCATAGGTGGATTACACACACAAGTTACCATAGTGTCACTTTTTGAGGCGAGAAGCATTATGACATCAAAACTTTCTCGGGTCTTGAGAGGCACACTATAAAATTCAATTCCCCAAGTAGAAGTAGGAGGGATTTGTTCGAACATATGATCACAAAATGATATTCCTGTTGGAATATTTCCACATTCATGCCCTGATATGAAAGTGATAGGCTTGTTTGAAACAACTTTTGATCCTGATAGACTTTCAGGGCTGGTCACATATAATGTGTTGGTTTCATTGAGAATCACTGAAATTGGTTGACCTGCAATACCAGTCCCGTTTATATCAGACATTGAAGAGAGACTAACATTCGTGGTAGGACTTAACATCACAACTGTTCCATCTTCAGTTGCCACCACAAGGATAGCGCTATTAAAGGTGGCCTCTTGAACTATATCTCTTCGTACTGAAACTGCATAGTACACATACTGATCAGGAATATATACTGGTGGCAACACTAGGAAAAGGTCAGCACTAAAGCCTTCTTCTGAAAGAGCAACAACTGACACAGGTTTTCCATTACTTTTTATATGCAATCCTTTATCTCTCTCTGAAATAGATGTGAGTTTGAGTTCCTTTCTTACTTCAATTTCAACAGACTCGCCCATAATAGTACTTTTTCTTACACCAGACATTGTAATAACCTCGATACTTGTAGGACCTGTCTCAAAGGTGGAAATTTTGAGTCTAAGATTAGCATTACTAAACAAAGGGGGTAGTTCCAGGTTGTTGGGAAAAGCCACATAGAAGTCTGTTCCAAGAGATGTGAATGCATCTTCAGCTACAGTGACATAATAAAACTCTAGGTGCAAAGGAACATGAACAGCAGGAATAACAGAAAGCACTGGTAATGTATGGGCCAGGCCACACCACAAACACACTGACCGAGCTTGAGCCTCGAATGTCCCATGAATAGAATGAACATGTATGCCTAGCACAGGCTACCGTTTCTGAGATAAATGTGGTTTTCCACTTATTGGCCAGCAAAGTGAGTCTACCTAGTCGTTTCAATGCGGGTATTATCACTAAGTACGGTAGTACTTAGTATATTATAGGGATGACACAGGTTGTCCTGCATTATGCCCATACAAACTCTATTATTGCCTACAAAGGTTCATTGTTAGAGGACCCACATAAGCAAGTTATAGGCACAAACATTATTTGCAAATATTTATTGCCTGAGGCTGATTGTTATTGTTTACAAACTTGTAATTTATGTTTCGATGAACTCTCATCATGGGAAATCAGTGTACCAAGGTTCATTGTTAGAGGACCCACAATATGCAAGTTATAGGCACAAATATCATTTGCAAATTTTTATTGCCTAAGGCTGTTTGTTGTTGTTTACAAACTTGTAACTTCTGTTTCGATAACATTTTATCATGGTAAATAAAGTGTATATGCCAAGTTTCTTTGTTAGAGGACCCACCATAAGCATGTTTGTAAACAGCAACAAACAGCCCAGGCAATTAAGTGCTGTTTTACCTATAACTTGCTTATGTTGGGCCCTCTAACAATGAAACTTGATACATATGTCATTTTTGTGGTGAAAGGAAGATGTCAACGACGACAAAGAGTCTGAGGCAATAATACATGTTACTTTTTATATGGGCATTATGCCCCAATGCATGTGAAAAAGGAAAGGAGACAAGTAAATGATGAGTTCAAGAAGTGTGGAATATAGGGATGCCATAAAAAGCAAGGAGACAAGACAGGGATGAGGGATGACTTAGTGCATTAGTACAATGGAATGATGGTTACATCTTCAAACTGACATTGCTTGCTCGTGTAAATTTCCTCCCTATATTGTCGCCACTGTTCTCACAACATAGTGTTAGGACAAGGGTAAGGGGGATACTCTGGAGGGCCAGGAACACAGCATCGTCAGGTGAGTGAACATGGAAGTAATAGACTGCACACAATGCAGTCAGAACCTAAAACCGAGTAGCTGTCGGAGAGGGCAACACCTGCATTACGTGCTTAGGAAATGAGTCATTCTATGTGGGAGCACACTCATGCTTCGCTACAATAAAGGGCTTGTGTGGAGGAAACTTTACACGAGCAAACAATGTCAGTTTGAAGATGTAACCATCATCCCATTGTACTAATGCACTAGGTCATCTCACTCTGGCATCCCTATATTCCACAATTTTTTAATTGGAAGAATTTTTTGTATATTTATATGTGACAGTCACACGGGCACTGTACTACCGTAATGTTCTACGTGGTTGCACAAAACACGCGCGAAATATTGAACTACTCGCACTCGCTCACCAACAATGCGTGGCATTCCTCTAGTCAACAAGTGTTTTTCTATCCAATTTAATCGGCCTCTAAGGTGCACACACACACACACACACCCTCTCCCTCTCCCCCTCCCCCTCTTCCACTCCCTAACATCAACAACTATAATATACACTGTAGTAGTTCAGGAAGTAGCTATGACATCACCATAGACCAACACAGTGCATATAACAGCCTACCTACCATGCCATAGTTCAGTCAGTTGTATCAAGCAGTGAGAGAGAAAGAGGGAGAAGAGACGGGGAACAGAGAGTGAAAAAGAATGTATGTTCAACAATACATAATACATGCAATTGATAGCAGAGCTAGTTATGTAGACAGTCCCTGTGGTGTAGCAAAAAATCATTAGCTGTTGCATGTATGTACCCCTAGAACTCCAATACCATGTAATCATGTCACGTGACGTAACTAATACGGACTCCATTCGGGTGGAGTGGCCTCGCCCTTTCCGGAGTGTCTCTCATGTCGGAAGTTTAAAGAGGCCGAAACATGTTTGACACGATGAGGGATAGGGAACTCCCCTGATGACCAGTAGAAGTAACTACAAGCCTGATGGCACCGCATCTGTGTGGGCATGCTGGACTTGTGCATAGATATACATGTAACAATGTACATTTTGGCACCTGGACGGCTGACGCCAACAAAAGCCACCCGCTCTCTCTCTCGTTAGCTTTAGTCCTGCCTACACTTTACCTCTCTCTCTGCTTTCCCCAATCACAAACACACACACACACTCTCTCTCTCTCTCTAATTAACAGCATGGGAAGTTTTGACTTCAGTAGACATAAAATCCACAACAAGACATAAAACAGCAAAGCTTGCCTGTAGTAGCTCGGTTAGGAACAAGAGTGAAGGAAGAAAGAAGTGAACAATAGTGGCGGCGATGATCCTGGGTGGCATCTCTTGGATCGGAAGGGTGACCGCGGTGCTCGCACCGGTGATGGCAAAGAAATGAAGCAAAGCCATTACTAAGGATAGCTGGTACACTAAAGTTGCCTTTATGTAACGTAGATTATTTTGTAAGTACAATACAGTTGTATCCATGTAGTAGGAAAATCTGGACTCCAAGAGGCCTTGCCCTTTCTGGAGTGTCTCATGTGTTGGAAGTTTAAATAGGCCGAAACACGTGTGACTTGGTGAAAGATTGGGAACTCCCCTGATGAGAGCCTAGCACGACTTGTGGATAAGTTTACATATAGATTTAAGCACCTGTCTGGCTGCATGTGGTGATGCCTACAAAAGCCGCCCACCCTCTTGTTAGCTTCGGTCCTGCCTACACTTACCTCTCTTTTCCCCAATCACAAACACACACCACATTATTACCAACAATCAGCTGTCACAAGAGTATGCACATCCGGTGCCAAAACCACTACTTATTAATATTCATTTATACAAGCAGCACTAGAAAGCTGCTTAGTTACAAGACATATTTTTCATGAATCATCTCCCTATGTTTATTCTTTTACCAGTTACAATGTTTTGTATGGTCATCAACACATTAGAGTATATAGAGTGATGTGGATTATGGGCTCATTCATTGGTTATACACACCTTTGGAATCAGTCATGGAAACTCTATCATGTCAGTGAAGTCTACTGCCTTAATCAGCTATTCTGTCATTTTTCTCTCTATGGGTGGACCAGCGGTCGGTCCAGGAGTCCATAAGCCCCTGGTTGGCGACGGGATATAGTCCAGCAGGCCAGCAAAATAGACCGCAACATACTCACAAGGCAGGTTATTTGGTTTATTGCAAATTATGACGTCAAATCAGCAATTACCATGGCAACCGTGACGTCAAATGCCTAATTTCAGTTCGAAAAGCAGAATGGTGGACAAAACGGTGAGTCGCGTTTGCTTCTCGGCCCAGACCTTCCCTTTGTACGCAGTTTACGCATGCGCAGTAAAGGGGGATGGGAGGGAAAGAAGGGTCAGGGGACAAGGCTTACCCTACGACGGATCCTGGAAATGTGAACTATTTTAATATGTGATCAAACATAAATTAACGCACGTGGCGGAGTACACGGCGCTGTACTGCAGTAAACAAATCGCGGGTATATATGAACTGCAAAGCCTGCGGAAAGAAGACGGACTCCAGATCGTGTTAGGCCCTTACCGGTGTGGTATATCGCAATCTATACGACCTGTCTTTTAGACGGTCCAGTGCGTCTTTAAGCTACTGCTCAGCATCCGTGTGTGGTGTGCAAAGTTTGCTACTCTGCACTGAACAGGTAATGGCGTCCTCCACGGCCTCTCGTATAGCCAGCCGAACCCGTTAGGGGGGATATGGGGCTTGATACGTTACAAGGGGAGTAGGGATAAGAATAAGTTGAAGTGGTGGTATAAGTTAGCGGCATTGCCAGGCAATAGGTATCCGAAGAAGCTTTTTAACCAGGAATGGAATCTTAAGCCAGGAGAGGCAGGCAGAGGAAGTGTTGGAGTAAGGTCATCGATGATCTCTTTTCGTCATTAGGTCTTGACAAGGCAGAGTGGTTGCATGATATTCAGAATGGGGATTGCCCCTTGAAGGGCTTTCTGTCTATAGTAGGGGACAGTATTAATGAGAGGGAGATAAGAAAGTTTGAAGAGGGGCTAAATAGCAAAGTAAGGTATGACATCTAACAAGGTGGTAGAGTTCAAAAAGGATATACTTGCGTGTGAAAAGTGATGCTGGGTCTTCAGGCACGCATGGGCTAAATGAGGAACCGGGTAGGCATAGTGGGAGGGAGGGGATGAAGGAGTGTCTGTTGTGTGATGATGAGTTTGAAACTGTAAGTCATGTGTTGTGGGAGTGTCCAGCATAGAGTAGTCTTAGGACCAATTTCTTAGTTGCCCTGCAGGGGGTGCTTGGGGATGATGGGTTTGAGCATTTCCAGTCGCTTGATAGTTTTCAGGAAAGCATCCTTTATTTTGGGCAGTGAGTTGTGGGAGGGTAAATTTGGTTCTTTGCTTGGCCTTATTGGATTGTATTTTTGATGCTTGGAAGCTAAGAAAGGTTAGGTTTTATGGCGATAATCCCAGCGTACAACAGACCCAGTCTCAGATTGCGTCTGGGGAGCTGCAGGGTGTCGCTGGACAGACACCTCATGTTCATATGGTGTATGTTCATTTGCTAATGGTTCCGCCCATTGCTCTGGGTGCGTAGTCCATGACCCTAGTGCTATGGCAACCACCTGAGTATTATTATTATTCTGCATGATCAGCACATCTGGTGGCAATCATAGCGGCTGTGGTTACTAATGCACATTTGACACCCACCGCCGCATTCCATCACAGATCCGTCGTAGGGTGTAAGCCTTGTCCCCAGACCATTTCCTTCCCTCCCCTACCCCTTTTACTGCGGCGTCCTCTACTGTTGCTGTTGTTCGCCTGCCTGTTTTACTTACGTATCTCTCAAGAATGCCAGATGGAACATTTGAGAAATCTTAGCATCAACCCGAACGTTTCGAGGTCAGAGATCATCCCACAGCTCTCATCGCACACAACCTACGGACTGCCTGCTCCAACTCAGGGAGTGCTTTTTCGAGGAACTGCAATTAAAGGGTCTGGTGCACGTTGGTGACGAGCTTGTCAGTCATCGGTGTACAAGCAGGGGTAAGCCTCTACCCATAAAGCTATCAGAAGATGTTTTTCACTAGAAAGTCAAACTACGCAGTCTTCTCTACCATCATGTTAGATTTCCGTATCGTTGTAAGGAATTCCTTTAGACTCCACCCAAATACAGGATGCTGTATGTGTAGAAAAGTGGCCTTCTCAAGTATTATAAGGGCAATGAAAGAGACAGTTAGGGCATTACAATCTGAGGTTATGTTTATCAACAATAACATTCAAGCCACGAGGGCCCCAAGTACATGCCACATCAGCCCTTGACCTCCCATTACTTCAGGGTTGCCCGGTTCTCTATGCCAGCAGGGTTGGTTCGGATTTTTCCTGGAAGTTAAGATCCACAGGCATAGCCTCCACAATGGTCTCTGTTCAACAGCAGATTCTCACTCAGTTCGTGTCTGGCACAGCAATCGGTCGAAACTACCATCTAACTCCTCCTCTGATCCACCAACTAATAGTGTGACAGATCATAAAACACTCACCATCACTTCCTGAAACTGCAGAGGCCTTCATAACAGCAAGCCTTACATTCTCGACTTGATCAAAACCTGCACCGACATTATTATCTTGCAGGAACATTGGCTATGGCCTTTTGATCTGTCCGGTCTAAGCTCCATTCATCCACAGTATGATTTCACGGCTATTTCAGATAAGCGGCTGCACTCTGTGAAGAGTGATCAAAGAAAGCAATGTAAAAAGGAAGTGAAATCCTACTTGAACAAGTGCAAAGCAAAGCAAGAGCGCAGGCAGATCAGCGCAGAGATGACATGTTTCGACAAAACCATCAAAATCATTTCTGTGCAAAACATCATCAGAAAGCTGCCTGCACAAAGCACTACTCGCAGGGCTCTCTGGTCACTGACACAAATGATCTCCTCAAGTGTTGGCTTGACCACTTCTGTTCTCTTGGACAGTCTGAATGTTCTTCAAACGAATTTCTCAGAAAATCACAACATTTGGTTAGTGAATTAGTTTCTGAATCAATCAGCAGTTGCGATAATTTATCGATGTTGAGGAAGTAGAGTGTGCTATTTGCCGCCTCAAGAGGAATCGAGCTGGTGGGGCTGATGTCTCTTCAGAGTACCTAAAGTTCAGTTATCCAGTCTTCAGAAAATGGCTTTGCCATATTAACAATTGCATTTGCCGGCTTCAGCGTATTCTTCAACGCTTCAAGGATGGTGTCATCATTCCAGTTTTCAATGGTAAGGGTAAGGACCCCTTGCTAACCATGAACTACCGAGGCATATCTCTAACTTCGGTCCTCGCGAAGGTCTTCGAAATCATTCTCAGTTACTGTACAACTTCAATGCAGGGACCACTCAGGCCACTCAAACTGCCTATAGAGAGGGAGTCTCATGTACTGACTCCATATTTGCTGGTATGGAGGCCTTGGCTAAATTCAGATCCAATGGAAACAACGTGTACTAACGCTTCTATGATCTAGCAAGTGCTTTCGACACAGTTGAATTTTGTGTTTTATTGGAAAACCTCTTTTATGCTGGGGTTAGGGGCAAATGTTGGAGGCTTCTCTGTGACTGGTATCACAACCTAACTAGCCAAGTGAGGTTGGGTACCGGCATGTCCACGCGTTTTGCCATCGGTAGCGGAATACGCCAAGGATCTGTACTCTCTCCAATGCTCTTCAATCTTGTCATGGATCCCTTACTCTCTGAATTGAGATCAAGATCTCTAGGTATCAGCACCAATGGTATTTTCCTTGGTGCTTTTGCCCATGCAGATGATCTTCAGACTATGGCATCTAACATATAGGACGCCACTGATCAAGCCTCTTTTGTCAAGTCCTTCACAAGATCCAGAGAACTTCGCCTCTGTCTGGATAAATTTTCTTCCTCCCATCAGGCAAAAAGTTTCTGACTTCCAGTCTGACGAAATATCTTCCTTTTGAAGTCGGAGAAGTGCCTCGGTGTGTGGTGGGATACTTCTCCCTCAAGTCAAGCGTGCATTAACGAACGAAAACAGAAAGCTCAAGCCGCCTTCTTCCCGAATGGTCAGCTAGGTGCATTTCATGGTCTTCTAAATCCCTTGTCATCATGCAGTATCGTTGAGAGCTGTATACATCGTGTTCTACTGTATGGCTCCAAAAATAGGGTGCCGCGCCATTCCTTACTGGAAGCACTTGAATCCTTCCAAGCAGAACTTGGGCGACGTGTATTGCAACTACCTAACTTCTCATCCAACACTGTACCACTGCTTGTCCTAAACTGGCCATCCATGTGCGCCAGTATTCTCTGTAACAAGTTATCTCTTCTGTATCGTGTGTGCAATGGAGACTCATCTTCACTCAGCACTCAAGTTTTCATATCTATTGTAACATCCATGAACATCGTCAAGCAGTTTCTTGACTCGATTCTGGAAACCCGATTTACGAGAGAGGTTCTGTACAACCCCGAGCTTTCTTTGAGAGATCTTAAGAAACGCACCCTAGAGGCAAACTGTCTAAAAATCACAGTAAAAAGTCAGAAAATCATTCATCTCCCTTCTACATCCTTCGTGCTGCCAAAGAAAACCTATGGATAAAATTCTGGGTGTGGCTCTTGAATATGTGTACGATGACATCAATGGCTATCCTGAAATCACTCTGTCTTACAGTCTTCAGTGATCAACACTACCCTATCCATGACTGTGCTAACACTGTTCCACAAGATACTCCTGGAATGCCACACAGATTTTGACTCAAGTGTTACCCCGGACTACATCACCGACTGCATTCTTTCATGTACATCTAACTCTGAGCATTTCATGAGTCATATCCCATTAGGTCTTTCACTTGTAAAGGTTTTACCATGTTAATCAATTCACGTCAGTGTTTTATTTTATTCTAGTGCATCTCACTCTTCCCTGTACGGGGTATAAATATATTTAAAAGGGTCTGGGACCGAGACTAGCTTCTCTTCTGCTGCGGCAGTGCAAGCAAACGTCACGATGGCTCTCAGACTTGGATGAGTGAACCTATTCGTCGTTGCTGCCGAAGAAGCGCCAACTATGACTGCCGGCTGCCACAACAAGCCGTGCGTAAGCCACCCATTGTTGTACGGATGCTGTGTTTCCTGCTGAGAAGAGCAAATTGCCCAACAAGAAATCTGACCGTGCTGTTTTGTTGATGAATGCTCCCAGGCGTTTCGGGTCGAAGGAATTCCATTCAATTTCTCGCTCTAGCACTGCATAGCTGCTTTAGTTGATAGTGTCCGAGGCTTGTATCGTTTCAAAAGCTTCCCTAGAAGGCCTGGAAACTGCTACGGAAATTTGTTCCACCAAGAATATTTGTCCTACAATTTTAGGCAGGGGCGAACCCAGTTCTGAATTGAAATTTTAGTGCACTCAGGAATTCACGCCTGATACAAAGCCCTGACCAGAAGGAATTCTATTGTATTTTCCAATCAACACTAGCATAAGCAAACACTTAATGCCGGACTCCTCGCTGGAGAGTGGTCCTGCCTATTCCAGAGTTGACCTCGGGACAGAAGGTTAAAGGGACCGAAACCCATTGTCAGTGTTTTATTTTATTCTAGAGTATCTCACTCTTCCCTGTATGGGGTATAAATATATTTTAGGTACTTCCCTGATGACCGGCCAAAACTGTTGCATAATGCACGTTACAACTCATGAGTGCATGGGTGGTTCTATGTAGCGGCGCCTCAAGGCAAGGACTGCATGGGCACTGGATTATGCCCCAGGTAATGTGGACAAAAGCCTTCCCAGCACTGTTACTCTCTTACCTTCTTTCTCCTTATTTCCCTCCCTTATGTTTCTTCACGAATCGCAAAACACACACACAGAGGAATGCTCTAAGAGTGTCACAGGTTTGAATCCAACAGATGGAGAAAGAGCAGCCGACGAGTATTCCAAGCCGCCATTTTTCATGGACGCGCAGTGCAATGTAACGCGGTAAATGTGAATAACATTTTAAAGCAACATAAACTCCGTTGCACGCGGGAGTTTGTGCTACGCTACACGCCAAGTGTGAATCGGCCGAGATTTTGACATTGAACTAAAGAACCGAAGCACTAGAATCCTAGCTATAATTTGAGGTACATTATTACACTAGAGGAATGCAACGCATTGTTTTCAATATTTCGCGTGTGTTTTACATGTATTAAGAGTCATGTATAACATTACAGTATGTCCAGTGCCCGACAGAGCCGTCACATATAAATCAATACAACATCCCGCACTAGATAGGCTCGCTTTGCTCACAAATTACCATTACTTGTTGCAAAGGCAACTAACATGCTACGCACCAACACACCTATGTTATTGCCGAGCACATTAGCGCGAGGCTACTACTCCAGGTTGTATTCTCGCGATATGCGTACTTACGTACGTGTCGGTCACGCTTAAGAATGTCAATTAGTCACGCTTAGGGAATGTCAATTAGTCACGCTTAGGAATGTCAATTTCCGCCGTGCTTGCAGATTCGTAGGAAGTCTGGCTTCGCGCGCAGTCAGTAGATCGAGCGCGTGCACGAGCGGCCTCAGTCGGACTGTTTACGCATTGGCTGGCAGGCGTGAGGCAAAATATGCGCGTGCGCATTCCTAGTATTTTAGTACATGAAGTATGGCTCACAAACACTGTATACCACCATGCGATACAGAAGACTATGTGGACTCACTTTGCTTACATGAAAACTACTAAAGCAAGTTATTAACTCACAAAAACAATTTTCACATTTCCCAGATCTCGAAAATGAAAGTCCATTGTTTCCCGCTGCACAACAACTTCCTTTGCTCAGAGCTCCCAATAAGATGTGACCATGGCAGTCAGTTGAAGCGTAACAGTCAAACTTTGAAATAGTTGATTCGACCACACTTAAACCTTCAGGGCATGCACATAAACACAGTACATACTTGCAGTGAAAAAAGATCCACTATACACTTATGGCAGATGGAGATCATGGACAAATGAAAAAGCACTAAGTACAAACCCTCGGCGAACTGCACATGCGCGGTACCGCTAATTGATGGGCTGGGCTATTAGTATGCGTTTACTCACGGTCTCGCGGAGTCTGAAATGCGCAGTAAAAATAGCATGCAGGAGTCGATACACGCTCTTTGTTGTGACTTCTTGTGCCTTCAAGATACACAGAGCAAGCGGACCCGCTCTAGGTAAGCCTGTTCTAATTAGCCTATTGCTCGTATTTCACGCTGTAATTCCCGAACGCAGCAGTTTCAGAGAAAACCCCACGTATGTTTCGACCTTTATCCGACTCTGAATACTGGGTATCGTTTGTGGAGTGATTGATGGCTCGAGAAGTGAAATGTAACGTAACGAACTGACTGACTGACTGACTGACTGACTGACTGACTGACAGACAGACAGACAGACAGACAAGACAACTACCGTAACCCTCGCTGCGCATGAGTGCCGAGGGTTCAAAATGCATCATACTGAGGAATCTTGCCCAGTGTGTAAAGTGGTGCTTTACCACAACAGATGTTTCCATATGGTTGTGTGGTATAGCTAGGGTTTTTACTGTAGTAGTTCTCAGATAAAGCCTGTGTATCCTGCATTATGGATCCCAGAGGCCATAGTGGAGTCTGTGCACTACCTGCATTATTTAAGCTGTGCTATTTGCACCTTACTTTGCTTGCCGCCCCGTGATCGGAGCCGGACCTCATCTAGGATGCTTGCCACCCGAATGGATCATCATCGGAGCCGGACCTCGTCTAGAGCTAGGACTAGGGCATCTATTGGTTGAGTCCGTCAATGCCCTAGCCTTAGCCCTAGGCCTAGACGAGGTTCGGCTCCAACCATGATCCATCTGGGCGGCAAACATCCTTCACGAGGTCTGGCTCCGATCATGACGCATCCGGGCGGCAAACATCCTTGACAAGGTCCGGCTCCGATCATGATCCATCCGGGCTGCAAGCATCCTAGAGGTCCTGGCCCTAGCCAATAGCACTAGCCCTAGGTGCTAACCGAAAAAATTCAGGAATGTGACAAAATAATGCAGGTAGTACATGGATCCCAGATTCTGTGCTACTAACGCTTTACATACGCTCTAACCTACAGAGACGGTTGCAAACTATACGCATAATTATACACACACGGTCGCGGGAGCATCCACTACGGTGCGTGTTCACCTGGCGTATAATTATTATTTGCAACAACAGTAGATCTACCTTGATAGCAATTGATCCACAAGGCCAGTGTCATGAAAAATACGAAAGTAAAATTTTTCAGGAGAGCCATGCTGCTGGTCGCACTGACTTCGACGGCTAGCTGGCTGCACTCCCCAGGCCGGCCTCTGCACCACTGCGTCCGCCGCCGCCGCGTTGGGTGTCATGTCACTGCGCACGCGCGCGTCAGGACACGTACGCGCGCGCGTACGTGCGCGCGCGTACGTACACCCCCGGCCCCCGGCCCACCACCACACTGCTCAGAGAAGGTGTGGCTCTTCGCGAAAAAACAACACTGGCGCTTGCTCGGGCGCTTGTGCGTGTTCGGGTGTAGACCGAGGTGTAGACGTACGGCTGGCAACACTCGCGCTTGGCGTGTTGATGGAAACCACAGGTTCGAAAGTAGCTGGGGGGGTGAAGTCAGGAGTATGTAGGTAATTCCAGGCTGGCCAGAAGGAATCGCGTGGCCTTTGCTAGCTTCAGGGGATGGGCCGGGGGATGGGCGTAAAAACCAGAACCAACATAATCTGCTACGTCCATTTTTTTGCAGTGGATACAGAGAGCGGTCTAAAGCGCTTTTCATTCCAAGTGAAACCTGTGCAGAGGTTACACTGGGAGGACACTGCAGCTGATCATCTGGTGACCCATGAGGTATATACATTAATGTTTCAAGAAGGCTTTCTCCTCATTTTTCTGAATTATAGGAACCTGTAATCTTGACAGGAACTAATGTGGTTACACCTGCTCTGCGATGGACTCTACCATACCTGGAAGAGAACATGGGTTCAACTAAGCACACAGTGTACTTATCAAAGTCACGTACTTTTATGTACTACGATGAAAAAAAGGTGCTGTTGTGTAGTTAGTTGTATGTCATTTTATATTCTCACTTGCTAAGAATCAACTAAAGATGTGTAATAGTATTTATATGGCCACAATAGCTAACGATATATTTCATACGAAAGAAGAATGAGAGGGGGATTCTGGGCCTTACTTTTATCTATAGCTACAGAACACAGAATATGCACAGGGGACTAAAAAATGAGAAATAACGTGAGCTTGCACAGAGCTATACATAATATGAGGACAGGTATACAACAAGATCAAAAGGTATTAATATATAAATTTTGTTCGCGTATTTAGAATCAGAGCAGAATCCCCACAATCCTCAGAAGTAGGTACTGCAGTTAAGAGTGATCCCATAATAATGCCCCCAATGGACCATAAGAAGTGCATGATCTGACTATGCTGTGGCTTATTGCTACACTCTCTCATACAACAGCTAGCTTGGCTTCGATGCGATGTGACGGCAGTATAGAGCATTACAGTACATTTGGTCATCTGGGGTGACGTGATTGGTCAGTGTCAGTGGTCTTCTCTCTACACACTCTTAAGTTCTGAACGCGCTGACAGCATTCAGCTCCAGTTGTGTGATACCTTCTTTATGACATTTATAACTTGGCTATGTTTTCTAAGTGTGATTGTGTGTTTACAAATCCCATTTGTTGGTTTAGGTTGGAGCCTTCCCAGAATTCCGTGAACCTATGAAAAAGCGTGAATGGACATTCTCAAAATTTGTAGATGAACTAAAGAGCCACATGGGCCGTAAGGATGAATACATATATTATCAAGATGCTCTGACTGATGCTGTTGGCACTAGTATAAAGCACGATTTTCTTCACTTTAACTGGAAATGGCTAAATGATAGACGACAGCGCTACAATTGGGGACAGTTGACAACAAACCTTCTTCTGATTAGCCAGCCAGGGAATATAACTCCATGTCATTATGATGAACAACACAACTACTTTTGCCAGGTCATACAGAATATTGTTTTCTTTAAGGTTATAGGTAAGCTTGAAGAAAAGAAGAATCTTGATTTGTTACTATTTGGGTGTTCAGTGCAACAATTCACCACTGTAGTTTCATTGTTAGCTGGATAACTACCCACACAGCATTACTTGGATATCTAATACACCTGTGATAGAGACAAGGTGCTTTTTAAAATTTGATGTGGGGCATGCATTGCAACATCTTCCATTGGTAAAACTATATTATGCCTGTAACCAAACTTTTTAAAGTGACTGTTACGCATTTAGGTGATGGGTGAGAAACGCTGCTTACTTTTTTCACCTGCAAACTTTTCAAAACTATATCCCTATCCAGTTGCTCATCCATGCGACAGGCAAAGCCAGGTAAGTGTATGTTTTATTGTAGTATGCATGCTATGTATCAAATCTTTTTGGTTTAGGTTGATTTTGAATATCCTGACTACAAGAAATTTCCTCGTTTTCGTGATGTAGATGCCTTTGAATGTATTGTTAAACCCGGTGATGTTCTTTATATACCTATGTACTGGTAAGTGTTTCTGAGCATAGTTAAGGGTTTACTTCAAGTCCCGCCTAGGGCAGTTTTAGAGTAGTTCTGATCTATGTTGCATGGATATGAAACCAGTCCACCAAATACTTAAATTGTGGTTCCAACGATACATTATAGTGTTTAGGCACATCGGTGTGCACAAGTTTGCGCTTCATGGAGAGCCCAGCTTCCCTCCTCAAAACCTTGCAAACTCACGAGAATGCACATCTGTTATGTTGAGCATCATCAAATGCCACAATTTTCACACTATACTGGCACAAGTAAAAAAATTCAATTCTTCAATCGGTTCACAATAGTAAAGGCACCAGTAGTTTGTATACTGTCATCCTCTGCGTGCTTGCGCAGCGAGGGTTACGGTACTTGGTCCGTTTGTCTGTCTGTCTGTCTGTCTGTCTGTCTGTCTGTTACCACGTTTTCTGCCACCACGTGCAAGGAGACAACAAAAAGAGCGGTACCGATAAGTTCAGCGCTACACTGGCTTGCTTTTCAATTTGGCGATTTTCGTAAAAGTCGAGAGTTATGGCGTGAAAATTGACACAGGCTTACCTCGACCGCGTCCGCTCACTCTTGAAGGCACAAGAAGTTGCAACGAAGGTCGTGTATCGACTCCCGCATGCTATCTACTACTGTCGCTAGCCCGTGTCTGGTTGTCCGCGTGCTAGTAGCACAAGAAAGGCGTACTACGTTACGTATGTAGCCCATCAATTTTGTAGTACCGCGCATGCGCAGTTCGCCGAGGGTTTGCACATGTAGATAGTGCTTTTCATTGTCTATGTAGGTGGCATTTCATAGAGTCACTGCCCAAAGGAGGAGTTACTATGTCACTTACCTTTTGGTATAAGGCAAGTTTTTTTTGTTATTGCTCGTGTTATAAAACATTAATTTTGTATACTGGATGTTTGCTTATGAACAATAAATTCCTTTTGTGGCAAGCACAGCGAGCAGTTCAATATTTCACGCAGTGTTTGCGCGCAAGTTTACAATCACGCCCTTCCACCATTAAATATAATACGGAAAATTTGGCATTCAGACAACTATGCAGGCTTACTTTACTCGCCAGTTACAAGTGACTGTGTACACCTAAGCAGACTCTTTATTACATTGATCAGTGTAATCATTTCATAATCTATGTATATACTTGTATTTGGATGTAGGTCTAGAATTGTTCATTAACTGTACTGTCCCTTACTAAGTTTTACAGACCCACACATATTCTTTAGTAATGTTTTGACTGTGTTACATCAGACAGGTAGAAACCGAACTGGCAACCCTATGTACGAACAAAAATGATAAATTGAGCCCTACAGCAGAGAGGCCAAGTCACTTCCTCATAGCTTACCAAACACTAGCCAAGCATACATAATAATCTTAGTACAAAGCAGGTTTATACCAAGGCACCCACTCTTTCTATTTACTAACCATCGGAAACTACGTGGATTAAGAAGCAATTTCCGTGTTCAGTCCTTGTAACCGAAAGTGCAAGATCTGAGCGCGGAGGTCAATTGTATATATCGTTCAAGAAAAAATGCATAATCTAGCCCTAGCTTCTTGTCTGAGCCGTAACTAAAAGTCTCAGTAGTCTTCCTTTTTCTTTTCTTTATCTCTTATCTGGAAGTCTATAGGGGTGTGTGTATACAGCTGTAGAGACAGGGAGCGATGATTGTGCAGATAAAAATGTAGCATACATACAAAATGTGACAGGAAACAGTTTGCTTGTGTGATGTCTCACCCCTTGATAATGTGCACATTTATCAATGTTTGCCATTGACACGGAGGTACACATAACCATGTCTCTAGCATGTCCGTGCCAGCGCTTACGCACTTACTCATGTCTCTAGAATGAGTAATGTTTCAGCCAATTGATTATGAGAGATTCCCAGAAGAAACAATGCCAAAACAATAAGGTTACCTTTAGCCCAAGCACAATGTCACTTACCTTTTGTACATTACTGTACCAGGTTTTATTGTTAGAGGACCATAGGCAAAACACCATTTACAAGTTTTTATTGCCTGTGGCTGTTAGTTGTTGTTTAAAAAGTTGTCATGTTTTACATATGTGTACAAAGTTTTTTTCATTCTGGGTATTGGCATTAACTATATAGTTAATGGTCGTATGGCCTGGGGCTATTTTTTTTTATTTGTTGTTTACATGTAAACAACATTGTCCAAATAAAAATCCTCCTGCACACCGGGTTATGGATTCCAATCTTTGTGCAAAGTTTGATCTTCGTATCTTTCCTGGTTTTTGTGATACGCTTGTCTTAACCGAACCACAACAACATTTGAAACTATTACGGATTATGCGATACACATGCTTTTTTGATCATACGAATGATGTCAGAAGTGGGATCTGATTAAAACTGAAAGCGAAACATACAAATCTTAAGTATATGCAGGACAACCTGTGTCATCCCTGTATACTAAGTACTACCATACTTAGTGATAGGCATGTTTTATATACTCGAGCATACCTCCGAACTCAGCCAGTTGCTTTCCTTCCTTATGGTTTATGTTTGGAGCAGGAGATGTCTCTAGCTTCGAGCATTGTTACACCAGCATGTATGCGTATTATGCACATCACGTGTGCCCTTTCCAATCCTGGTTACATAATCTATTGGATTTAAGTATTTCACACTGTTGTACTCCAAAAAAGCACCGTGGTAAATTTCTGGTCGTCTAGCCAAAAACTTATAAGTGGGAGTACTAATATTCGGTCTCTGTGGAATACTGTTCTTTTAATTATACTTGTAATTTCTCTATTCATTCCTCCCAGAGTGGTCCTGTTCCTAGCAAAATTAACTATCCTCTAAATGAACAGCAAAAAGTTGCCATTACAAGAAATATCGAGAAAATGCTGAATGAGGCATTGCAAGATCCTGCAGAGGTATTGTTATTTTTACTACCTGTCACTTGTGGAATGTGGTACGTATTTTAGAGGGTCCATAGGATGCTACTGTGCTTTGCCAGAGCCTAGCCCATAGCCTGTGTTAGAGTGAGTACCGTAAGCTAACATTTTTCGCTGATAGTATGCTGATAGTAAAGATTAACAGCCACATAAATACATGTGAAAGCACCCAAGTAAGTATGTAAAAAATTAGAAGGAACCAGCACGTGCACTAGCAATCAGCAGCATATCCAGCAGTGTTGCATAAAATGGCCAACTCTATGCAAACTTTGATCTCCACAGAACTCCACCTTACATGAACAGGAAATCTATACGTACATGTATGTACCATAGGCCTTACTGCATACGTAATATTTTGCAATATGAAACACTCTGCACAACAGCAAGTTGGTTTCTCCAAAAACGCACACTAGCTAACTCTGTAAACAGCCTCTATCAAGTTAGAGTGGCCATTTCAAGGAAACTTTTTCAACGATGGATCCAGTGTTTCATGTGTGATTGCAGTAAACATTTAGATCTTGAATTAGGAATCAAATCGAGGAAAGTCACTGGGATCCGTGCTTTTGCTATATCTATGAGATCTTCACTTACACCATGTAGATAATCAGTTTTGCTGTTTAACCTGCATGCCAAACCAGTGTTCCAATGGAATAACCCTTGTTTACCTTACACAAGGAACACCAGCCAAAGGAATGCACACAGTATCAACGCCAACAATAATATTGTCTAAGTATGCATTATCATGGCACAACATTAGATAAACTACACCAAATTATTATCAGTTCCACCTTCAAATATCCGCTAAAGTTTATAACCGCCAGCAATAGTGACCCTGTAATAATTATGCCAATACTGAGTCCAGTATTAACCCAACTACTTCACCCATAAATCCTCAAATGAGACAAATCCTAAGCGCAAAAGGAATCATTGGCCTAAATCAGTGCCCGAAAGAGCAATATCCCATGCGCTGAGCCATGGCACACCACACACCACATGACGCATGGTAGGTCATTGACCTGTCAATTTCTTTCTCTGACACAGGCTAGTTGTGTGTCTGGGCAAGGCTTGACTGGATACTTCAAGTAGCTTTACACCTGCAATAGCCATAAATCACATTATGTTAGCATAATAGCACTTATCCATTTGTATTAGTCTTTGGCAACATCCTATATACTCTGTGGGTGGGAATAGGTAAGACACAGCACAAAAACCCTCACTACACAGTTAAATATTCGTTCAAAAACACTGCATGCAAGAATTTGTATGATAATTGTCATCCCACACTTAAAAATGTGGAAGCCCTATATATAGTTTATTTTTGTTTTAGGTTGGACCACTTCTCCACATGATATTGGATGGAAGATATTGATGTCTGAACCTTTTCATTTTATTTTCATGATTTATAATATTTTGGTGAAATCTATAATATAAGATTGCAGCTGATGTACGTATATACATGGATGCATGTGTAGGTTAGCTATTAGGTAAATCCCTGAAAAAAAGATCTTGTAAAATATCTTCGTCTCTCTCCATTTCGCACTGATTTGTAACCGGATGGGATACCAGGAGCTTGTGAGTAGATTCACAGTTTAAAGATGTTGCTAAGTCAAACATTGAAGAAATATTTCTGTAGGGAGAGAAGGTGGGTATAAGTGCAAAACTGAGCACGTTTGAGCATTTCACAAGGCCACACAACTAAAAGCGTAATTGTAAAACTTACCTGCACTTTAGATGTAATGGATAGGTTTTTGAACTATCACAATTAGTCCTCAATGGTGCACCCATAGCATTGTTACTTGAGCTAACTGTCTTCGTGTCCGTAACATGTGCAACACCATACACCAACTGACTTGGACAATCAGCTTCATTAGTCTTCATACACTTTTGCTTCAAAATAAGAGAGTGTGGTGTTTCACTGCTAGCATCGTCTACCAGTGGATCATTCTGTGATTGATTTTGCTTCTGTTCACTACTTTCTTCCACTGAATTGTATAATAAACCGATTTGTTCTTCACTAGATTTGACAATTGTGTAAGATGTAGTTGGAGAATCAAAAGGTGTGAAAGTGGAGGATTTTGTTAATCGTAACTTTTCCACTGAGAGGGGAGGTAGCAAAGTCCAACTTCGTTGATGATGTGACTGACTTTGACCATCTAAACTATCAAAACCTAAGAGAAGCCTTTCTTACAATGAGTGTAGCAAAGAAACAGCAATACAAACTAGGAGAGTTAATAAATCAGCTAAAGTACATGGTTTAGAGGACGGTTCTAATTGGTGTCAACCAATGATGATTGAGGCGCATAAGTCACCTTAATTATATATCTACGTGAGGTATGAAGGCAAGGCAAGTGGAAAGCAATGACACCAGGATAACACTTTCAAATAATGAAAGTTTTAAAATTTTAGTGCCAGTCAAGATTTCTTTTAAAAAATTGACCTGAAAAATAATGGATTTCAAACCACAAAAGCATCATCATCAGAGGAATAGCAACTTACAGGAAGACAACTTTGTCGTTCGTTTGCCATGCAACCTTTTGTTGATGTTTACATGCACAAATTAATATTGCGAAATAACAATGAATCATTATGGTCAGCTTGTACAAGTGGAAAAATCATTTCTTCATAATGAAGGGGATAGGGATGGCTCGAAGCACCAAAAACAAAGGAAACAACGATTTGTTACAAAGCACAAAGCTGCATGACACTATCCCTATCATCTTTGTTGCCTATGAGTCTATAGGACAAAGATAAGGATTTCATTATAAAAATCAAGCCATACTTTCCTGTTCTTTGGAGAGGTTAGAGAGTGTCACAGGGGGTTGTTTGGCGTGGTCTTCACACAACTTGTTCAGTTGCCTTTGAAGATGTGAAGTAGTTAAGGATGTCAACAGTTGTGAAATACATACTGCATAATTTGAATGCCAATCGTGCTGCATATCACTACACAGGGTCACACTTGTGATTCACATCAGCTTGAGCGTATTATCACTTAAAGTACTGCTTGGAATGCATTCTCCAGGAAAAAGCAAGTGTTTTCCCCTGTACTTCAACCTTTAATTTACTTCATACAGTGTGCCTCTGTCACCCTTACAAACAGACATGCAATCAGCTAGTTGTGCAATGGAAAGTGTAAGGAAGTAAAGCTGCGTATTATCCATGCCATCCTGTAGGGCTTTAGGACACCATGCATGAATTTCTCTAGCAAACCTTTATAATTATGACAATGGCCAAAGGACTCCTCTCACGAAACTACTAGAACAAAGTTACGCTTATGCCACGCTTTATTGAAAAGTATGAGCAGTTCTATTTTCACACGTACTTTGAAACGACACTCAATTCATTTAGAAGTACAAGTATACTTTTCAAAATCCTGCTAATAAATAAAGTAAATGGATAGGAATGGGATATAAATTTAATTACGCAGCATGGTTTACGAACAGCAACCCGCTCCGAACACATCACACAATACCTAGATTGTTGTCTGGTGTGCCACTCTCAAACACTATTTGGAATCTATGTATGATGATGGTGGTCACACAGTAGAATGACACTCCTTCACTCTGCAACATTGTCGTTACCTTGTAGCTATAGTTCTGGCTGAAACACTTAATGACGAATCTAGTGAATGTGACGCAGTAGTACAATGGATGATGGCTACATACTTCGAACTGACATCACTTGCTTGTGTAAAATTTCCTCCACACAAGCCCTGTATTGTCACGAAGTATGAGTGTGCTCCCTTGCACAGCTATGACTTTTTTCATAAGCACATTAGACATATAGTGCCATCTCCAGTTGTGACTGCTTTGTGTAAGACTTCTACATTTGCTCCACTAACCAGTTTTACAATGCTGGACATCTACAGAATCCCTTCACCTTTGTCCATGCACTTTACACAATTTACTAAACAAACTCATGTCAGTGAGAAAAGGTGGCGACATTATAGGGCTTGTGTGGAGGAAATTTGACACGAGCAAACGATGTCAGACGTCAATTTGAAGTATATAGTCATCCGCGTCACATTCACTAGGTCATCCTTGTCTTCTCTCCTTGCTTTTCAACCCTATATTCTCCATCTATTTACTTGTCTCCTTTCATCAGTGCACAAGTTTCATTGTAAGAGGACTCACCATTAGGCTGTTTGTTGTTGTTTACATGAACTCTTATCATGGTAAATCAGTATACCAACTTTCATTGTCAGAGGACCCGCCATAAACAAGTTTTAGGGACATACAAGTTTTTATTATCTGAGGCTGTTTGTTGTTGCATAGTCATCAGTGTACCAAGTTTCATTGTGAGAGGTCCTACAATAAGCAAATTATAGGCACAAACACAGTTTACAAGTTTTTATTTCCTGAGGCTGTCTGTTGTTGTTTACAACTTGTATTTTGATACTAGCATATGTGTAGAAAAATATTATTTTGTTTGTAAACAAAAAAATTAAAGTAGCCCCCAGCCATACATCATTCCTTGAATTAAAAGTGTGGAATATATATAGAGATGTCATAAAAGGCAAGGAGAAAAGACAAGGACCTAGTGCATGTGATGCAGTAGTACAATGGATGATGGTGACATCTTCAAACGGACATTTCTTGCTCGTGTACATTTTACTCCACACAAGCCCTATATTGCCGCCACTCTTACTCGTTTGTTTAGTGAGATGTAGTGTTAAGACTGGCAAATGCATTCTGTATAGAAAGTAGCATTGTAAAACTGGTTAGTTGAGCTAACATTGAAGTCATAGACTACAAAATACAGTCACAATTCAAAACTGAGTAGCTACCAGTCTTGTGTGCATAGGAAACGAGCTGCAATAGAGATCACTTGTGCTTGCGACAATAATATAATAAGGCTTATGTGGAGTAAAATTTACACGAGCAAGCAATGTCAGTTTGAAGATGTAACCATCATCCATTGCACCACACACACTATGTCATCCCTGTCTTGTCTCCTTGCTTTTTTATATATAATATACCATCCCTATATCACTTGTAATACATAAGGTATAATGTGGTTACTTTTGACTATGGAGGATATCAATTCTCTCTCTTTCGAGCAAGATTATATGCTGATTCAACTGGAGAAGAGCACGCCTAAATTTATCCCTTTCCACATGTAACTTTTCCTCAACTTCATGTATCTTCCGGTCTCCAGTGGCAACGTCAACAATAAGTTTACGAACCCGGTTCTTGTCCTTTTTACAAAGGTACCGGAGTGAATCTGCATTTTTAAGGGAGGCTGTGCTTAGCTGGTGAGGCATAAGTACGTACAGATCTTACGGCGAATTTCATCCGGGTCTATCGCGCTGGACATAACAGGCCTGGGGGACAGCAGAGCAGCACGGGGCGGGGCCGGCCTGCGTGGGTAGTGGACAGCGCGACACGCCCATGCAGCTCGGCTCTAAACATGTTGCCGGAAGACTTGATCGTGCTGGTCGTCTAACCCTTTGAAAAAAGGTAGGCGCTCTATGAGATGTAACGATTTCGCTCGTGAAGTGAGGCTTTTTATGGATGGGATGATACGTGGGTAGATGTACTGCGCGGGTAAAAAACGCGGTTGCATACCGATGCCGTATGAACCTTGAATTTACATGAAAACAAGCCAATTTACAAGAGAAACATAGTGCCTTTTTTGCAGTGTTAGTAGAGCAACAAAACAAGAAAGGGGTGTGTTAAACAGTCATTGTGTGAGTATAGTAGTAGGTGAGCAGATTTGCAGATTTGTTATTACAACCTGATGCTGAAGTGTAGGTTGACCTTTGATCACTACACTACAAAAGGAATCAAGCGTAGTCTCAGTACCAGGCCCTCACACAGAGAAGAAAGGGTCTGGGTCTGGTATACTGCCCAAGTACCATTTGTACTTGACACACCCCATAAACCCTGGGGGTAGACGCTATTATCCTAAGAGGGGTTGGCACCGAGACTAACACAAGCATAAAGTTTGCTCTTAATGGTCGAAAAATGTTTTAGCACAAACCAACATTTTAGCCTTGTTCCCAGGCGACTTGCTTATGTCCTTTTGAACTATGACTTTACTATGTAGGTCAAAGGTCATAGGGTCAGAATTCACAATTCAGAGTTCAAACGACATGCAAAACAGAGCAAGGGGCCTAGGAACGAGGCCAACTAACGCTTCTGCTGAATGTAAGCGTGTAAGAACTGGCACAGACAGCTTTCCTTACTGGGTTACCTCAAATGGATTATAAGCCTGTTGGCACTGGCACGGCTAGCTTCTTCCACCGAGGGACCTCAGATAAATTTATCCATGCATCTCGCTCTGGATCTGCACATGCCTGAGAATAGTGAAGAGTGCGTAGTAAGAAAAAGTGCAAAAGAAAAATCAGCTCTACCAGTGGGATTCAAGCCAACTACACCTTGCTTGCCAGGCAAGTGCACTACCACTGTGCTATGGGAGAGCTACAGATGGTAGGAAGCACAAATGAGCTCTTATCCAACATAAGAGCGTACTCTGACTCCAAAGCAGGCATGATCATAAATACACGAGTAATGTTAAGCGTGAAGCTATTTCGGGTTTTTTTACAGTGTAAGTACATATAATTATGCTGTTCTCTGGTCAATGCATATTATCTTATGCGAAAACATTTTTGTTCTGTCGTTTGGCTAAATACTGAAGGATTGTAATTAATACCCTTCTTGTCAAACCCTAAGTGCCAACTCAAAAGCATCATGAAACATTGAGCGGTACCTTTCATACAGTGTCAGGGAGGGAAAGTAACTCATGTAGTGTGTTGGTGCATGCACCATTTTTTAACGGAAAGACAGCATATGTGTCTACGAGCAAAAGAATAGATCACCAGTATACATACTCACATGTGTTCTCCCAGGTTGAATTTGGTTTCCATTCACATGCACATTCTGTAATCCTGCATTTCAGTATTATAACTCACATGGAGTGAGATTAACCTGGGTTTGCCAAGTTCACTGGAGTAAAACAATCAAACCCCAGGTTATGAGGTTGAGCAATCTTAGAAAGCTGAGATAAGTGGACATATTGTAAAAGGAAGGAGAGAAGAGAAAAACTCATACTCCATTCACATTCCGTGTTGGGTTTGATGCAGAATATGTTTGACCCCGTTTTGTGCATATTGATGAACAAGTGTAGACGAAATCTGATTTAGCCCAGGGTTCGTCCGCCGGAGGATCTTGTTATTACGTATATGTAATGGTCCATTACCGTCATCACAATGCATTATACAGCACACATGTTTGATATAAGGTAAATATATGCCATTCTCTGGCTATTGCATAATACTATTTTGGTTGTGCCATTTGGCCAATGTAGGTCGATACTGCAGCATTGCTAAGGAAGCGGTGCACATCATTAAGTCATAATGTTTATGGTTTGAATTGTTACATTCAATTATGTCATCTTATCTGTCTCTTGACAGCATGATGTGATTTCTATTAATGTAGGTGTACAAAGTCAATTGAATGGGCAGTGGTGCCAGTAAAAATTCGACAAAAGTTATGAGTGGTGATAGGCATTTGCGAGACCTGCTACTTCAGAAAACATCGGAAATTCAGAGGCTAAGATCTGATAATGAACGGTAAACATGATGAAGTGTAACTGAGTGTGGCATTATAACTAATTTGTTAAGGTTAAAAAAGCTTGTAGCAGACCAAGAAGAAAACATCCACCGGAAGGATGTTCTTAACCAAACACTTACACAAGAGATTGAAACACTGAGAAAGGATGCTGACGTGCAATCTAGGACTCTTCGAGAATTAAAGGAGATATTACAAACACATGTTAAACCAGCTGGTCCTGTTCAAGTTCGTCACAGAGCAGGTAATATGTCATTCCATTTGGTGTGCTTTGTTTGGGAGGGAAATAATTCTTGTTGACCTTGTATTCGAGATATATCATCTGAGTGCTAATCCGTTGCCACCAACGATGCAGAGGTGTTTTGCCAGTTGATATCTAGTTGGACTGTGGCAGGCAGTCCATAATTAACCCTCAGCCTCTGCGCAGAGTTACGGTTCTTGATTTGTAAGTCCATCTGTCGCACACCTTTATCTTGCATCTCGCGCTATGAGACACATATAAGGCTACTAGCTTACCAACTATGACAAGGAATTTCTTTCTTACAAGTAAATAAAAAATCCTGCGGATCAAAAAAAGAGTGCATATAGGGATGGTATAAAAAGAAAGGGAGACAAGATAGGGATGGTGTTTGTGGAAGCACAGAGATGCTAGCGAGGAGTGAGGACTCCCACAGGTCATTACAACAGCCCTATATCGTCATATCGGTGCTTGACCACGGAATAAAATCTTCCTCGCATAAGTATCAGCAACCCTGCATACTTGAATTTGGTTTTCTCGTATTATATGTATGTTTTCCATGTAATGATGTTATGCATGTACTGGTCAGCTGATTATTACTGACAGTACACATAACAGATCATCCATCCATATGTACACAACAATCATTATTAAGTAGTACAGTACTTAGCAATACTCTTTCATAACCTTCACTCCCACCTAGGACGATATAGGGCTATTCTAATGACCTGTGGGAGTCCTAACTCCTCGCTAGCATCTCTGTGCTTCCACAAACACCATCCCTATCTTGTCTCCCTTTCTTTTTATACCATCCCTTATATGCACTCTTTTTTTGATCCGCAGGATTTTTTTTTTACTTGTCTCCACTCATTTTTATATACAACTACGTATTATCTCTGTGGAAGAGGGCAAGCCCCTATATAGAAAAAATGCCTCTTGTCGTCATGGAAATGATATCCAACTACGTTTCGTTTCCATGGTTGCTGCAGTTAGCAAATTCAAGGAGTGAAAAAATACGTTTTAAAGAAAAGTGCCTGAGGCTATTTATTGTTGTGGTCGTCATGGAAACGACGTTACACACATGCGTACCAAGTTTCATCTCCATGCGTGGTACCGTTAGCGAATTTGAGGAGTGAAGAAGTAATTTTTATGTAAAATGCCTGAGGCATTTGTTGTTGTGGTCGTCATGGTAATACACATGCACACCAAGTTTCACCTGCATGCGTGCTACAGTTAGCAAGTTTAAGGAGTGAAGAAGTAATTTTTAAAGAAAAGTGCCTGAGGCTATTTGTTGTTGTGGTCGTCATGGAAACGATGTAATACATGCACACCAAGTTTCACCTCCATGCGTGCTACAGTTAGCAAGTTTAAGGAGTGAAGAAGTAATTTATAGTAAATTGCCTGAGGCCTTTTCGAACATTATGCGATCGTCATGGAAACATGTAATCGTCATGGAAATGATAAAATAGGCATACGTACCAAGTTTCATCTCTATGCGTGCTGCCATGTTTGAGAAGTGAAGAAGTTAATTTAAAGAAAAGTGCCTGAGGCTATTTTTTTTTATTTACAAACATGTATTGTTGTGATTTTGAAGTTGGCTATTGAATACATTGTGTATACACACTTTCGCTCACATAACTCTTACCAATTGTGAGTTATACTGACACATGTAGTATGCCCATTATAACGTATTGTCAATTATAATGTATTGCTTGGGGCACTTTTGTTGTTGTTTACAAACAAAAAAGTATGACGTTGCACATGTGGTTATTGATATGTACATTCCTACAAAATTTCATGGCTGTATCTCTTTCGGTTTTGAGTTACGCTGGTTTAAGAAGAAGAAAAAGAAGATGATCCCTATCATAGCCCCATACATCTATGATGCTAGGTACAATGTCAATCCCTATATACTAAGTACTACCGTACTTAGTGATATAAGCTCATTTTTACCATACGGATAAGATTTATATATTATTACGAGTGTGATGTGAATACAACGTGAAAATCTTTTATGTATGGGCATAATTCTGAATAAGCTGTGTCATCCCTATCTACTGTAGTAAATGATCCTCGAGAATAAACATAGTAAATGCATGATACAAGGACGTTTCGGCTTTAAAATACCTTCTTTAGCCACTAACACAACTATGAATATATTTGCAGCTGTTCCGTTATACCGGATGAAGAAGGCGTAGTAAGCAGTCATGTAGGATATTCACCATAAGAGACACATGCATTTTCCAATTTGACGAGGCCTGAAGGGCCCGCAAAGTTATATACGTTTGGACTGTACGAGTGAGATGATAGCAAGTCTATAATCACTTTCAACAGCCGCAATTCTCGCTGCTGTCACTGATGAATAGTTGACTGCCTGCTTGGCTGTCGTTCTAGCTTTTAGAACTAGTTGTGTGGCAAAGATATGCCTGAGGGTGGCATCTAAGTTCCAAGTCTGGATGCAGTTAGCCTGATACATTTGCTACTAAAATGCAAAATTGAATAGGTAAATTCGTCGTAGTTCATGCTTAAATTTGTCTTCACTTATCCAGAATAATAATAATGATAATGATAAGTAGAGAGATAGAGAGGGGGGGTGCTCATCCATGGCATGCGAGAAGAGAGAGAGAGAGAGAGAGAAAGAGCTCTCATCCATGATGAGAGAGGGAGGAAGAGAGAGCGCTCAGTGAGTGAGTGAGAGAGAGGGAGGGCATGAAAGAAACATACCCATGTTTTAATAAAGAATCTCGAAGTGACTTGGAAATGCGTGTACTCACTTTCATCTGCATTTATTGGCCCTCAGCGCGCACGCGCCGCGAGGGTTACTGTGTCTGTCTGTCCCCAGGCTATCTCCCTTCCCGAGCAATCAAAAACGATACCAGTATTCAGCGTCGGATAAACGTTAAAAAAATATTGTGGGGTTTTCTCTGAAACTGCTTGCTACGCTCGGGTGAAAGCCAAGTGAACAAGCAAATTAGCGCGGGCTTACCGCAGATGAGCGCTCGCTTGCTCTGCGTAACTTGGAAGCACCAGAGGTTGCAACGAGGGGCAAGTATCGACTCTCGCATGTTATCTAGTAGTGTAGCTAGCCCGTTACCGACTCTCAAAGGAGACCGCAAGCCGAGTAGTGGCCCAGCCCATCAGTTAGCAGTACAACACATGCGCGTACTACCGCGCGCACATTTCGTGCTTGGCATAACCTGTTCGCGCATGCGCAAGATATTCTAATCCCATACCAAGCCTACTGTTGAGCTAAAACATGGCAGATGCACAATGAAAGATGTGCCTCACTTGGCTTACCTCGTCTGCAGCCTTTCACAGAAGACTGTGTATATAGGCGGTGTTACTCAACTTTGCTTTTCTCTAGCGAGCACATGCCTCTCCGCCAAGGGTTTGCACTTTAGTGCTTTTCCATTACTACTGTTAGCACTTTATAATTATAATATAAAGACTGAGGAGCATGTTGTGTATGTACAAAATTCTCAGTTGCATTTTTCTGGTTAGCAAGTCTGGAAGTAAGTATGAAGGAAAAATCGACTATCGACACTTTCTTCTTAGAGCTTGAATTATTATTCTTAATTATTAATTGCCTGGAGTTACTTGTTGTTAATATGGCATACAGCTCAATCATGGGCACTTACAGATCAGTGTGTTCTTTAGCAGTCATAGTAAATAGCTGCATGTTTGTAGACAATTTTTACCTTCCTGCATGTAAATTTTATTAATTGTTAATGGAGTTTTAAAGCATGGTGCCAATCCACAATTGCCGTTATATGCTACCACCTATGGCGGGGTGCTTGGAAAAGGGTGTGGCACTATGCTCAACGTGCATTTTTAACCTTCGGCGTGCATGCACTGTGAGGGTTACGGTACTTGTTTTGTGTGTCTGTGTCTGTGTGTGTTACCACGTTTTCTGCCACTAGGCCGAACGAGGCCAATAAGCTATGCCGGCGCTACACTGGCTTGATTTTAAAACTGGCGATTTTCGTAAAAATACTGCGTTCGAAAGTTATGGCGTGGAAAGCAAGTGAACAAGCCATTATGCAAATTAGCAGAGGCTTGCCTTGATAAGATGTGCTTGCTCTGCGTCCCTTGGAGGCTCAAGAAGTCTCAACGGAGGTCGTGTATCGACTCCCGCATGCTTTCTACTACTCTATATAGCTAGCCGATGTCAGACTCTCCACGAGCTACTATCGGAAGACCACAAGTAAACGCATACTACGGCCCAGCCCATCAATTAGCGTTATCGCACTTGCGCAGTTCACCGAGGGTTTGCACCTCAGTGCTTTTATGTTTAATTGCACCACTACTGCAGTAAAACGGCTTTCATATAGGCAGGAAGCAAAGAAATTGTCCACAAGCAGGCAGTAATTAATGCTGTTTAAAGTATACGCTGATCTGAGTGCTCACATGTCATTAGATGCTGGTCTCAACTGGTGTCATTAAGATGCCGGGTAAACTCTGTTAAAATAATTATTATGCCCTTGTGCTTATTTGAGCATATACAGGTTGGTTTTTCTTCGTGTACATTGATATCTTTTTTGCCGTGATACTGTTATTCAGGTATATCTGCTGAACCATTGGGGCATGGTAACAAGTTAGAACTAACAAAGCTGCCACGTTTCAAGAAAGAATTAAGGTTTTTGCATTACACACACAAAACATAGTTGTAAAGAAGGCTGTTTTATATTGGTTATGTGATACCTGGGCTAGTGTAAAATGGGACTCTGGACTCGACTGTTGGACTGGACTTGTATCCTTCCTCTTACCTGCTGATAAATAAGTAAATAAAAAATTCTTTGAATTAAAAGAATGGTGAATATAAGTATGCAAGGAGGGATGACGTAGTGAATGCGACGCAGTAGTTCAATGGATGATGGCTACATACTTCGAACTGACATCGCTTGTGTCGACACAAGCCCTATATTGCCGTGAAGTATGAGTGTGCATGCTCCCTTGTATGAATGAGTTTTCAGTTGTGACGCCATTGTGTGAAGTCTTGCGCACTGCGTTCTTGACCATCTACAGAATCCCTTCACCATCGTTCTCGCACTTTACTCCATTTACTTCATGTCAGTGAGTAAAGGTGGTGACAGTATGGCCTGTGGCTGTTTTTGGTGTTAACAATATTCTCTTGCATGACATGTCATGGATTTCAATCATTGTGCAAAGTTTCTTTCCTGGTTTTTGAGGTACGCTTGTCGAAACTGAACAACAACAAATGCGATTAAGCCATTCTTTGGTACATGCTTTTCTGACCATAGGATCAGAAGACTGGTATGTCAGAAGTGGGATCTGATTGAAACTGAAAGTGAAACATACAAATCTCAAATATATTATATAGGCATAATGCAGGACCTTACTTATAGTGAAAAGCAGCTAATAGTTACATTTTCAACTTTCCAGGTTAGAATACTTAGGCTAGATAAGTGCACAAAGCAAAAATTATAGCAATACCCACTCACGAAGTGTCTTAATTTTTTTCACTGGCATAGGTTGGTTTGCATACATTTGTTCATTTACCAACCCTTCTGGCTATATTTTCTATACCTGTCAATGTGTGTGAAACCCCATTTCTTTAGCCCGCGAACCTGCAATACATGAAGGAGGTATCGATAGCAAACTGCGTACTTATAGCCTTAGAGAAAGCTTTTCATGCAAAACAGATATCGTGGAAGCCTTTGATACGGAGCCCATTTGCATTGAGGCCTATTTAATTGTTTAGCGCCCTCTTACTTTTAACTGAAACATCTAAAGAAGCTTCTGCGCACTACTACAGTTGGTATGAAGTGGCAGTCCTGTCAAAAGGTCCAGTCCAGAGTCAAGGGTTTACACCTATCCTGTGCTAGTCTCATTGGGGTCCACATTATGGGCGCAATTGCCTAGAAATCCCGAAATATAGGTAACGTTTTAGCCTACTTCGGGAGTACGGTAAGGTAGTGCACTTCAACACGGGAGGTCCTTAGTTCGAATCCCACCGTCTTTTCTTTTTTCGCGAATTCTTTTTTCTTTTTTTGCGTTGCGTTTCCGTTGCGTTTTAGTGACGTAAGTTGACCCTGGAGGTGCTTTGGGCCCCTCGGCATGCATGTGCAGCGAGGGTTACAGTAGTCGTTCTGTCTGTGTGTGTGTCTGTCGACACTTTTTCTGCCACTTCAGGCTACAAGGCGGCCCATGAGTGATACCAACGGCTTCAGAACTATGCGAACCTAAAAAATTAGTAGCAGTAATGTGCATAGAAAAAAGGGGGAGGCTCGTTTTGTGACGTGAATTCCACTCACACTTTTCTTTGATTTGTAGTGTGGTTTTTACAAGTATCAACTTGTATCTCTTTTTGTAAACTTGCAGATATAAAGATCTCATCATGAAAGCAATTGCAGAAAACGATTTCATGCGGAATTTGGAGCCTGTACAGTGTAATGAGATAGTTGAGTGTATGTATGAGCGAGAATTCAGAAAGGAGCAGTATGTGATCCGAGAAGGAGGAGTTGGTACTCAACTTTATGTTATTTCAGGTAAATATTTTTGTTAGCAATTTACATTTATGCATGTCTCAACAACTTGGTAGCGAGGTAGAAAGGCAAAGCAAGGCAAACAAGTCAACTACACCCAAGACACCTCTTTCTTTTCAAAGAAAATAAGAACAGTTGCCCTGGATGGGATTCCAACCCACGACATTCTGCAGTCTAGGCGAGCGCTCTACCAACTGAGCTACCAGGGCAACTCAGCTGGTAGGGGTTCGAATATACAACACAACACAAAGGCACACCTCAAACCACTATGTTATTACACTCTCACTCAGCATGTAGGAGCAGACCAGGGGTATGGCATTAAGTAGGTGTGCCTGCCCCTCCAACTCAGCCCAGCATTGTTGGTAGCCATTTACCCAAGGCACTCTCCTTTTCCTGCCTCCCAGTTTGAGGGTAAGCTTAGCCTTTACCTCCTTCCATGTGGGCTTTCCATCCAGCCGACTGTTGGTCATTTTCACATAGGATACACACGTGTTTAAATTTACTGCATTGGTAGGTGCATTCCCCATGATAAGCAAAACAGGCATTGTTCTTGTCTCATGCCCACCCTACCCCGCCCACACACAGAAAAGGTTGTCTGGGAACTTTAGTTGAGAGAATCATTTGGGAGGGTCCAATCAGATTTAAGTATTTCGCTTGTCGCGCATATGTCATGTGGCGCATTTTCAAATACTACTTTTTTTACTTAGCATCAACTGACCTACACATTAATATGCAAGATGCTGACACCGTAATATGGCTGTACTGGGTATATGTTTGCCACCTATATGTCTGCCACTTCAGACCTTGGGTAAGGCTAGGTTTACTATACATATTATGTCGCATTGCCCTGTCGCGCCATGCTGCGTTGCTACGCCGCAATGATAGAATCCATCTCTATCTTCGCAGTACGGCGTTACAGGGCAATGCAACGTAGTTACTGTGAACACACCTGCATGCTTGGCTCTCTCGAACCAACCACACCCCTGCTGTCCAACCTGTAGTAGTAAATATCTAGTATTTCTGCATGTCTGCTGGCAGATAAGAAGTGAGGTAGAATCCTGCATGATTTCAGAAAGGGACTTCTCTAAAAGTTATTTTAGCCCTTGAGCTATGGAAGCACCCCAATCCCCAGCAGTATATTTACTGCCGACAGAGTCATGACTCTACAATGTACATCATAACATTGCCAAGAACTGCAGGAAGCGACAATATATTGCTACCATAGTGACTTCCTGTGTTCCACAGATAGTGTGCAAGTAGGGTTTGCCTTTGCTTTGTTTATAGTAGACTTTAAGCCCTGCCAACTTAGCTGCCCTATTAGCCCAGGTGTTTGAGCTAGAGTGCAGTGTTGTAGGTTTGATTACCACCCAGGGCAGCTCTTTTGAAAGGATTGTCCCGGTGTTGTTAATTTATACCTCACCTGTAACAGAACATTGAAAGACTAACTAACATAGGGCCGATTTTTTTATCGCAAGTATATATGAATTTCAATCGCAAAAATAGCCCACCCTACATGTTAATTCGCAATGTAGCATTTTAAACACGAACACTACACAATTATAACTGATCCTACGATAATCACATTGTTTTGACAATTACAGAGGGAGAGGTGCAGGTTACAATTCGCGGTGAACATCGTGGTACAATGGGACCTGGAAAACTCTTTGGGGAGCTTGCCCTCTTGTACAACTGTACTCGAACGGCAACTGTTAAAGCACTAACTGACACAAAAGTAAGCATTAAGCATAGCAGTCAGCCATGCAATGGTATAGAAACCCTGCCACTCCAGAAACCTTTGCATAGATTTATGTTCTGCACGATTGTTAATCGAAGGGTTCTACAGTGCTCAGAGGGTGAGTGGATATTGTGGCCATTCGTTTTTTGTACCTTTGAGCTTTGCAATTCACCAATAGAATATCCAATATTTATTCTTCCATTTTGCCATGATTTCCATTATTGGTATTCTATACATGGACTTCCGAAAATTCATTTCTGATTGGACACCTTTCTTAGATTCTCCCTGAAGGTGGGTAATGTGGCCAATTGAAATTGTATGATTTTTGAAGGTTGAATTACGTAGCATTATTTTACGCAGGAAACCCGAAGAGAACATATTAACTCTCCTGCGTAGCATGCAAGTGTTGCAATTACACAGACAATAACTCAGAGTTCAAGTTTTAAATATGGTGCAATTTTGTTTTCAAGTTTGATATTCCCTCAGCTCAATGTCATTAACCAGTCTCAAGCTATCCACTCTGATCATCATTGTATATGTTAAAGGTCAAATATTAGCCAGTGAGCAATATAACAAGTAAATAAAAATTCAAAAAGTGTGGAATATAGGGATGCCATAAAAAGTAAGGAGACAAGACAGGGATGACCTAGTGAACATGATGCATACAATGGATGATGGCTACATACTTTGAACTGACATCGCTTGCTCGTGTAAAATTTCCTCCACACAAGCCCTATATTGTCGCGAAGTATGAGTACGCTCCCTTGTTTGATGCACAGCTATGATTTATTTCATAAGCACATTAGACAGGTACGTAATACCATCTACTCGGTTTTCAGTTGTGACTGCATTGTGTGAAGTCTATGACTTCTACATTTGCTCAACTAACCAGTTTTACAATGCTGTGTTCTACATACAGAATCCTTTCACCATTGTCCTCGCACTTCACTAAACAAATGGCAGAGGTGGCGACAATATAGGGCTTGTGTGGAGGAAATTTTACAGGAGCAAGCGATGTCAGTTCAATGTAGCCATCATCTGTGGTACTACTGCATCATTTTCACTAGGTCATCCCCGTCTTGTCTCCTTGCTTTATTAATTCAAAGAAGTTTTTATTTACTTGTCTCCTTTTCTTTTTTTTTCTGCATTCACATGCATGGTGTACATATAAAAAGGAGATATTTTTGGGCATAAGCCCATAAAAAAAGTAACATTAGTAGCCTTAAGCTATCGCCTCAGACGTTTTACGTCATTCACATTACATCAGTGCACCAAGTTTCATTGTGAGAGCGACCATCATAAGCAAGTTTAGGCACGGCACACCATAAAAGTCATTTTTGCACTGAGCTGTTTGTGGTTATTTCACAACCTTGTCTTTCTCGTTTCGGTGACTCGTTTATCAGGGTGAATCAGTTTGTACCAAGTTTCATTGTTAGAGGGGACCAAC